TACCGAATTTTTTTTTTTTTTGAGAGGTTTTTGCTATAGGGCATATGCGCTCACCAGAAATTCAGAGGGAGACAGAGAGACAGAAAGCAAGAAATCACCCCCCACGGGGGATGGCCACGCCACAATCCCTTCTCCTCCATTCTCCTCTCGAGATCATGGGCACGCACAAACACATGCCCAGCATGAGTTTAAGCCACCGGGTCTAGGACTCAAACCTCAGTTGACTACATGGGAGTTCAGCGACATAGCCATTATGCCAACTGCTGGTCCCAGGGATACTAAATTTTAAAGAGAGATTAAAATTCCAGGGATAATCTCCTTTAAAAGTGAGACCTTTCAATTCCCAAGAAGGTATTAAATTACTTTGCCAAAGTATTTAATGTATTCTCTAGCCATAAAATTGTATGGTTATGAAGTGCAAAATTAGGAAGGCATTCTAGAATTCCATACTCACTACCCAGCCAGCAATTTCACTCTGCTCCTCGTGTTGTGGCAAACTTTGGTTCACATGCTGCAGTGAGTACCTTGACTTTTTTGATATCCCAGGATCCAAATCAAAAAAGAATTGTCAAAGGAAGTAAGGGAAAGCATATCTTAGTGCAGAGAGGAGCCAGCTTCCTTGGTTACATCCTCCAAATTTGGTTGCTTTTATTGTAAAATCCAGGTTCTAAAGACAAGAGAGCATAAATTTTGTGTCTTCATCTTTTTATTCCTTGTTCTGTCACTCAAATAGGGTGAAAACATTTGATAGCAAAGAGTGAATAGGAATAAAAGCATAAAATTAAGAAGAGCCCTTTAAAATACTTGGAAAATTCTGTTTCTGTTACTTAGAAATGAACCAGAATCTACAAAAATGTCAATGACTTATGATGATAAAGTTAAGCACAAAAAGTATTTTTTCTGGGACCAGCAGATGCAATGGTTTTATCTCTGGACTCCCGCACGTCTGACTATGGTTCAAGTCCTGGACCCGAGGCTTGAAACTCAGGTCAAGTGCTTGTGTGTGCACCCAAAATCCTGAGAGGAGATGGAGGAGGAAGAATTGCAACATGACCATCCCCTCAGGGGGTGATATCTTGCTTTCTGTCTTTCTGTTTCTCTGCAAAAATCTCTCTTAAAAAATTTTTTTTTCTGCCTAGATTCATGACAGTTAAATTGAGTTCAATGATAAAATCAGTAAAAAAATTTTATCAAGTAAAGTAATAGTTACCCTTAACTCACTAAAGGTTGATGAAGAAAGAAAGAAACATAGAAGTAATGAAATGGAAACATCAGAAAGCCTATATGATGGTGCTGCTGCTCCTGCAGGTGGTGACAACAATGGCTTAAGTCCACAGAGTACAAAAACTGATCACCAGCAATTTCCTCCTAAAGAGTACGAAGAGCATGATAGGTAAGCCGATAGCAAGATTTTACAGTAGATCCTTGTTACTGTTCTAGAAAACTTACTCTAATTTGGGCTAATATTCATGATTAACTAATTTTATATTTTTACTACAAATGTTCAGCCTGGCTTAGTAATCAGGAAAATGCGAACTGACAAGTTATGAGATGCCATTGTCCCCAATCATATTGATATTTTGTTAGAAAAAAATTATCTCAGGACCAGCAAGTGATATGGTGGTTCAGGCACTGAACTTCCATGGTTCGAATTCCAGACCTGTGGCTTAAAAACCATGCTGGACATATGTGTGTGTGCCCAAAATCTAGAGAAGAAAATGGAGGAGAAGGAATTACAGCATAGTCATCCTTCCCGGGGAGGTGGTGATTTCCCACTTTCCCTCTCTCTCTCTCTCTCCCCACCCCATAAGCACACATGCCTATGGCAGAAACCTAAAAAAAAAAAAAAATCACTCTCCCTGTCTCTCTCTCCCTGGCAAGTGTATGCACTCTCCAGCAATTCAGACAAATAAATAAATTAACTATATATGGAAGCCAGGAAACCAGTCACTTTTTTAAGGATCAGGTCATCATTATCTGCTGTCTACATTAGTATAATAGATTGCTTGTTGGTCTCTTTGCTTATTTTTTGTAATCCCCTTTGTATCAGTTTTTAACATAGTGGACCTATTAAAATATAAGTCATTCTCACATGTGCACATATACACGCTGATATAATAAAAGAAAAAAATTTAAATAAAAAGAAACATAAGTCAGGTGCCATTTCTTTTAGCTTTTTTTGGGGAGAGGTTTTTTGCTACAGGGCAAAACAGTTGAGTATTACATGGTTCAAGTCCCAGATCTGGCAACTTGAGAAGCATACTGGGCTTGTGTGTGGGGGTGCCCAGAATCCTGAGAAGAGAATGGAGAAGGGACTGTAGCACAGCCATCCCCCTGAGGGGTATTTTTTCACTTTCTTTCTTTCTGGCAACCACATGCACCCTAAAGCAAACTTAAAAAATTTTTTAAAAATGTTGCCTTCCATCAACTTGTGTTCAACGTGAAAGCTGTTTCGGTACCAACAGTTGGCGTAATGGCTATGTTGCTGGACTCCTGTGTAGTCAACTGCAGTTCGAGTCCTGGACCCAGTGACTTAAACTCACGCTGGTCGCGTGTGCGTGTGTGCCCAAGACCCCAAGAAGAGAATAAAGGAGAAGGGATTGCAAGGTGGTCATCCCCCCTGGGGGGTGATTTCTTGCTTTTGATCTCTTTGTCTCTCTCTTTCTGGTGAGCGTACGTGCCCTATAGCAAAAACCTCTCTAAAAAAAAAGTGAAAGCTGTTTCATATTCTTGAATTGTAGACTTATTTTTGAAGTTTAAAGTTTGGGTTAAAACGAATTATTGAATGATTGTTGTCAGGACAATTTCTTCTTATCTTAGATGTTTAGTCTTAACAGAAGAGTTATTTACATAACTTTTCTTTGGTAAATAATTTTTAGTTTTCCTTTTGTATTTGATACTTTTATGGGCTCATACTCAATTCCTAACATAATAATCTCTAGTGGGAAGTATAAGTCTTTTTGTAAATTTATGTAGGTATGTAATAGTGATGTTCTTGTACATGTTGTTTACTCCATAAAAAAAGTAATTACAATGTTCTATTTATATTAGAATTAGGACTGTGCTAAATGTGTACAAAAGTTATTGAGTCATTTTATTTTAAAATTATAAATATTTAGACTGTTGCTTTATTGAACGATATATAATGACAATAAGGTATTTAAAAAATAAGACCCCCCCAGAACATTTCCCCCGTTTTTTTCATGTTATTTATACCTCATACTATTTTAAGAACTGTATCTAAATGAAATATTATATACAACGAAAATAAAACCCAAAATGATAGCACTAATCTGTATTACTCCCTTGTCTTATAGTCATTCCTGGTAGGTGGTGATCTCCAGCCTTCTGACATAACATGGCTGTGTAGTCTAGTGTTCATCTCCAGTACTAGCTTCCCTGTGTTTCATACTTTCAAGTTCTGGAGGAGCACCTATACTCCCTGTGTCTAATCTTTGTGCTCACATTCTGTTCTCGCTCTTTATTTTTTCTTTTTGAGAGAGAGAGATTTTTGCTATAGGGCACGTGTGCTCATGGGAAAGTCAGAGATAGAGATAGAAAGCAAGAAATCATCTCCCAAGAAGATGGCCACACCACAATCCCTTCTTCTCCAATTCTCCTCTTGGGATTTTGGGCACGCATGGACACGCCTGGTGTGAGTTTCAAGCTGTAGGATTTAGGACTCAAACCATAGTCAACTACGTTGGAGTTCTGTGACATAACCATTATGCCATCTGCTGGCTCCCTCTTTTTTTGAGAGAGAGAGATTTTTTGCTATAGGGGTGCATGTGCTTGCCAGAGAGGCAGAGAGAGAGAGTCAGCGGGAAATCACCCCCCAGGGAGAATGACCATGTCACAATCCCTTCTCCATTCTTTTCTCAGGATCTTGGGCATGCACGCACATGCGCCTGGTGTGAGTTTTAAGGTGCCAGATCTAGAACTCAAACCGCAGTCAACTATGTGGGAGTGCAGTGACATAACCATTACAACATCCACAGGTCCCACACAGTCTGTTATCTAAGTACAATGGTTTTCTTCCACTTTTATGTCTGAAGAACGCTTCTGTGTTTTACCTCTTCATTAATATAAAGCCTTGCTTGTGCTTAGCTACTTTTTATATATTAACTCATGTGTCACATTGTACCATTTATCCCTTTGTTAAAACTGAGTATACATTTTCTTGTACTTACCCAGCACTTCATAATTGTGTTTTATTTATTTATTTATTTTTTTACTTTTCTGATTTCTATATATGATTTTTTTTTTTTTACATCAGACAGATACAGTGCATATTGTAAACAGGTTTGAGAGAGGCACATCTCACATAACGGTGTGAAAACCTACTCATGCTTACGAACCGCAAAGGATCAGTACATATATCTTATATATATATATGACTCCATCTAAGACTTTTTTTCATAAAATGCTTCAAATAACAATACATTTGAAAACTATTGTTCTAATACATAAACTCGTGTTGCCTTCTGTTCTTTTGACTTTTCTGTCCCTTTGATTTTTTTTTATTCTTCTGTTCCTTTGACTTTTTTTATTGAGATATAATTCACAGACCACAAAGCACACCATTTGAAGCATTCAATTCAGTCATGTATAGCACCTTTGCAAGGTTGCACAATCATCACTAATTTCAGCTTGTTTGAATTATTTCAAAAAATTAAAAAAACCCTGTAATTTCATTCAATAAATATCCTTTGATCCTTATGTAATATTACTACAGAAAGTGAAGTCTGTGTTAAGAATAACGACAGCAAGTTCTCAACCAAATAACCAGCTTTCAGACAGTTTGAGTAACTGCAGCAATTTCCTTGAACTGTCTATAGAAATTCTGAAACTCTGGAATTGTCATTTCAAAGCACTTGTTCTTTACTTGCCCTGAATGATCTGCCACTTTTAGCATCGCTGCCACATATGGATATTTAAGAGATCTGCAACTGTCGGAGCTCACAGCCATCCCCAGTTTCCACTGAAAATCTATGAGCTAGTTGGTGACCTTGGATTTGGCATCCAGTGGGCGCTGCAATTCGTCCCACCAGCCCGGTGGACCCTCCATAATTGTTTTTTAAATTAGTGAATGAAATAAGATGGGAAAAATTTGGGATTTACAAAAATTGGATTTTTTATTTGTCAGTATAATTATTAGAAACCAATGACCTTTTTAATGGATTTTTATTTAAGTAGCAGTTCTGCTTTGCCTATGAAGGAAATAAACAGCAATGAAAATGAGAAATGGACCTCAGAAGACAGTATGGATGCACGAGTGTTGGAGAAACCCGATTCACCAGTTGGTGGTCTACTATGCATGAATGATACCAACAGTTTACGTGAAATAAAGCAGGAAGAAGAAGGGTAAAATCTGTAACTTTTTGATTCCCCGTGAAGGAATATTAGCAGTAATACTTTTTCTAGAAATAAACCAGAATAGTGTAGTCCTCAGGCCAAACAAGAGAATACTCAACTGTTGGTGCTATTGAAAAGTTAATTAAAATGAATGCAAGTGTCCTTAACAGGGAGCAGTTTTAGTAGTTACCATGGAAGCCTGACTTCCTGCTTTTTTAGATCTTAAAACATGTTTCTAGAGTATGTTTGTGTGCTGTTGGAAATGATCCAATAGACAAGGGTATGTTTATTAAATTTAAATTTTTTTGCCTTATTAGAAGACTTAATATATTATCTTTTAAATATTTATAGTAAACTCCTAATAATTGTTATTAAAACTTCTATTCATGTATAGTTTTATGGTAAAAGGGCATTCATTCAGAATTAGTTCAAAAATGGAATAACCTAATGTACTTCAACATAAAAGTAATAACCTAAAAGTTAAACTATCATCCATAGATTTTTTTTTTAAATGTAATAATGGGACCAGCAGGTGGCATGGTGTTTAAGGTGCTGGACTCCCACATGGCCAGCCACAGTTCGAGTCTCGGACCTTGTGGCTTTCCTTCTCACTTTCCCTCTTTGTCTGTCTCTGGTGAGTCCATGTGTCCTATTACAAACTTAAAAATAAATAAATGAATAAATAAATAAAATAATTTAAAAATTTAATAATAAACATACAAATACTTAAAAACAGACTGAATAAAATTTTTTCTTTTCTTTTTTTTTTTTTTTTTTAATAGGGCATGTGTGCTCGCCAGAGAGAGAGGAGAGTCGGGAAGGGGGATGTATGAGAAAACGTACCCCAGAGAGGTGACCATGCCATAATCCCTTCTCCTATATTCTCCTCAGGATTTTGTGCACTCATACACACGTGGCCAGCATTTTTTTTTTCTTGAGAGGTTTTTGCCATACGGCGCGTGCGCTCGCCAGACAGACAGAGACAGAGAGACAGAAAGCGAGAAATCACCCCCCAGGGGAGTTGGCCACTATGCAATCCCTTCTTCTCCATTATCCTCTCAGGATCTTGGGCACGCACGCACACGCGCCCGGCGTGAGTTTTAAGCCACCAGGTCTGGGACGCAAACCACGGTCGACTACATGGGAATCCAGTGACACAGCCATTACACTAACTGCTGGTGCCCCCAGCATATTCTTCAATGCACTGGAACTGAGATTCGAACTGTGCAGATTGCCATGTGGGATCCTCCATACTACCTGCTGGCTCCAAGACCAAATAGAATTTAATCCTCTTTGATGAGTTTATATATTACAGTACCTTTGACAGTATCATCATGAATAGCTATTATTTTGTAAGGTACTCTAAAATATGAATTGTATTAGCCTAATTATTTAGATTCTGGTGAAAAGAGGATTTTGTTTTATGTACAATAGAAAAGTAAACTATAGACACACTGTCATGGATTATTACTTTTCACCTATTAAGTTCTCAAGTATAGTAAACCATGTTTCCTTGTACCAGTAGTGTCAGTAATATGTATTATGTATCCAGTATTTTTAATGTTTGAAACAACAGTTGGACAGATGAATGTTTGTTGATGTATTTATTTTCTTTTTAAGAATTATTTTATTTAACTTTATTTATTTACTTTGATTTGAGCGAAGAGGAACAGAACGAGAGAGAGAGAGAGAGAGTGAAGAAGCAAGTCGCCAGGTCCAGGACTCGAACTGCAGTCGGCCACATGGGAGTCAGCACCCTTAACCACCATGCCACCTGCCGGCCTCTGTTAATGCATTTCTTTGGGAAAAAGAAAAAAAAAAACAACCTTTAGTTTATTGCAAGCAGATTTCTAAAATGACCTAGATATAGTCTTTTTACTTTTTTTTTTTTTTTTTTTTTTTTTTTTTTTGCCATAGGCATGTGCACTCACCAGACTGTCTCCTCTCTGTATTTCTGGCATGCACACATATGCACCTGGTGTGATTTCAGGCTGCCAGGTCTGGGCTTTGAACCACACAGTCTGCCATGTGGGATCCAGCACCCTAACTCCATGCTACCTGCTGGCCCCTTAGTATATTTTCTTTATCCTTTTATGTTACTCTGCTTATAGGTTAATCCTCCTCTGTAGAAATTACTGTATTTTAAATTACCTGTAGACCTTATGGATTAGAAAACAAGTGTAGACATTTTTTATTAAAAGATAGTTTTATAGGGGCCAGCAGGTAGCATGGTGGCTAAGGCACTAGACTCCTACATGGCTAACCACAGTTCAATTCTTAGACCCAGTGGCTTGAAAATCAAGTTGGGTACCTGTGTGTGCGTATCCAAAATCCCAGAAGGAAAATGGAGAAAAACGGATTGTGGTGTGGCCATTCCCCCTGGAGATGTTGTCTCACTTTCCCTCTCACATTTCAGTCACTCTCTAGTGAGCACAAACTCCCTATGTCAAAAACTTAAAAAAAAAAAAAAAAAAAAAGCAAACGAACAAGATTTTGAGACCAGCAGATGGTATAGCGGTTAAGTCACTGCCACATGGCTAACCGCTTTTTGAGTCCCAGACCCCAGTGGCTTGAAAATCACGCCAGGCATGTGTGCATGTGTGTCCAAGATCCTGGGTGGAGAATGAAGGGAGAAAGGATTACAGTGTGACCATACCCCCTGGGGATTTCTCACTTTCCTTCTCACTGTCTCTGTCTCTCTCTAGTGCGCACATGTGTCCTAAGGTAATAATCTCTTTAAAAGAAAAAAAAAGGGTTTATATATTCTCTGTATTTTACATATTTAATGTTTGTCTGAAATTTTTTTTAGGCCTACACAGAAAACATCTATGAAAAAAGACAAGGTATTGCTAAAAAGTAAATTATCTAAAATATTATTGGTATTGAAAAAAATAAATGTAAAGTGAAAAAGTATAAACTATTTCATTATAGAGACATTTACCCTGAAAAAATAATTATGAAACCGTAGCCATTGATAAAAGTATCCTTCTGACAAAGTCAGTTCTTTTAAGAAGTATCTGTGTTTGTGCTCATATAAAAAGATGGGTAATTATCACTTCTGTATATTTAGTATATGCTATAAACATTTTAGGGACATTTTGAAGTAGTTTTATCTGTTTATAGGTCAAAAACCAAATAAGTTCTATGGACGACCTTAGTGACTTAAGTCAGTCATCTGAAACAGCCTCAGAGGATCATGAATTGCCTTACTCTAATTTTATGAATTCTGCGATGCTTGGAATGTACTCTAAAGGTAGGACCATTGCATAAACATAAGGCCTTTTCATGTAGCTTATTGAAATGTATGGGGACCAGCAGTTAGCGTAATGGCTATGTCGCTGGACTCCTATATAGTCGACCGTGGTTCGCGTCCCGGACCTGGTGGCTTAAACTCACACCGGGCACGTGTGCGTGTGTGCCCATGATCCCAAGAGGAGAATGGAGGAGAAGGGATTGCAGCGTGGCCATCCCCCTTGGGGGGTGATTTCTCACTTTCTATCTCTCTCTCTCTCTGTCTGGCGAGCACACACGCCCTCTAGCAAAAACCTCTCCAAAAAAAAAAAAAAAAAAATAGAAATGTGTGCACACACTGCACCACAGGGCTCAGTGTTACAGTACTGTCTGCCATAGAAGTATGCTTTAAAGTAGAGTGAAAGCTGTCATTTATTGAACACTCTAGGCAGAAAGCTGAGATGGTTTCACTGTACTTCTCGGTGTGATTGGCACTCTCAGTCTTTTTGTTGACCCTGCTTCTCTCCTGTGGCTTTCCCCAAGGCATAGGAGATGCCATCATCTCCCTCTCCTGGAATACTGCTGTCACCCTTAGAACTGTTCCTTGTTAGTGTACTTTTCTAAACCATGGTCTACTCTGCAACCATAATTATATATTTTTATTTATATCATTTTTAATTTTTTTAGAGAGATTTTTACTATAGGGTGCATGTGCTTGTTGAAGAGACAGAGAAACAGAAAGCGAGAAATCACCCCCCAGGAGGGATTCATTCTCCTTGGGATTTTGGTCATGCACACAAGCCTGGCATGATTCTCAAGCCTCCAGATCCACAACTTGAACTATAGTGGGCCATGTGGGAGTCTAGTAGCTTAACTACCACACCACTTGCTGGCCCTCTGGAGGATATATTTTTACTTTGGACATTTTTTTTAATTCACTAGAGTGCATTTTTTTTTTTAGTAGAGTGCATTTTTGCACACATGTGAGAGAGAGAGGTGAGCACCCTCTACTGGCATGCTGCGATCCCCTTCCTCCAGTCTCCCAGACCATTAGATCTTAGCACTTATGCCTGTGCTCAGCACTGTAAGGCCAACGAGGCTAGGGACTGAGCTATATACGATCCAGCTTCTCTTGAGTAGCATATTTTCAGTGCACCACAGAGCAGCCCTTTGCTTCAAAAATTGGTTGAATTTTTATGTCCATACTCCTATTATGCTCTCTTTTAACTTTTTTGAGGTGTTATATGAGGAAACCTCAAAAAATTGGTAGAAAATTTAGATTGAAATAATGAGTTTATTTTGGTGTAAAAAAATTTGAAATCCATGCATATCTTTTTTTAAAAAAAAATATTTAACGTTATTAATTTTAATTTGGCCAGAGAGGGACAGAGTAAGAGAGTAAGAGAGAGAGAGAGAGGGAAAGTGAGAAAGCAAGCTGCCAACTGCAGGACTCAAACCGCAGTCGGCCATATGGGAATCCAGCACCTTTAACCACCACGTTACCTGCCAGCCTCAAAATTTATGTATATCTCTTCTTTTTCTTGAGAGGTTTTTGCTATAGGGCGCATGCGCTCTCCAGAAAGACAGAAACAGAGAGACAGAAAGAGAGAAATCATCCCCCAGGGGGATGGCCACGCCGCAATCCCTTCTCCATTCTCCTCTCAGGATCCTAGATACACGCGCGCGTGCGCCTGGCTTGAGTTTAAGCCACCGGGTCCAGGACTCGAACCGTGGTTGACTACATGGGAGTCCAGCAACATAACCGTTATGTTAACTGCTGGTCCCTATGCATATATTTTTAATAATACACCTTTTTCATGAACTTTCTGAAGACTCCCATACCATATTAACTACTTGAAGTTTTTTCACATTTTACTGTTAGTTCAAATTTACAGATCTTTTTTTTTTCGTGATGTGTAATCTGTATTTATTTCTATCCAGTGTAATTTTCATCCCTGATGTTGTAATTTGCATCTCTACAAGTATAATTTAGCTTTTTAAAAATACCTCACATGCCTTTACTTATATTCTTGAGCATTATTTTGGGATATAGTTAAGTTACTTATAAACCGATTGATTCTCTCTGGCCTAGATTTTATGATTTATTAGGTAGATTAGAGCAGTGCTCCACCTGGGGCTAATTTCCTACCACCAAACCAAGAGTTCTGAAAATTCCATTGATAGTGCTGTGAATGATCAATTTCCTAGCTTGACTGAGAGAATGGATGCTCTTCCTTGGCACCATGCTCTTCCAAGGCACCAGACTAATCTTTTCAGATACCTTTTCCTTCATCTTCTTGAGTAGTTTCTTGGCACACATACACTGTTCATTACTCTGCTAAATACCCAGGTAGGCCCTCTGTAGCTGACTGCTCTCTCCTCCCCATTGTTCTGTGCTGTGATCTCTGTCTTGGTTTGACAAGTCTTTAAGTTTCCTCATCTGAACACAGAGTCTGGCAGACTTCCTCAGTTTCTGGGTTATGGCCTGGAAACTCTCTCAAGGCAAGAAGCTGGGGTATTTGTAAGGTTTCCTTTGTTTGTTTCTCATCTTTCAGAGATCATTGTTTTTGTCTGAAGTTCATTGTCTCGAAAATTGTTGAATGTGTTTTGTATGGGTTTTGGTTGTTTCAGGTAGGGAGGTCAGTCATTACCTGTTACTCCATCTTGGCTGGAAGCAAACTGCAGTAGAGCTTTTAGCACATGCTGGGCAATGGCTAGAATGTTAATGTTCTTCCTGCTTTGCTTAACTGCTTCCCGCTCATCCTTCATTGCTCAGTGTAGCTGTTGCTTCTGCACAGATATCTTTTCTGGGCCAAGGTGTAGATCAGATTCTCTTTTGTGCTCATAGAATTTTTTTTTAACAGCATCTGTTTGAATTTATAATTGTCATTTTATTTGTCTTTTCCACTAGATTTTAAGCTAAAGAAGAACAGGAATCTTACTTGTTTTATCTGAAATACTTAGTAAACTGTCTTCCACTGTAAGCATTAAGTAATAAAGGAGACTTCAAAAAGTTCATGAAAAATGGAATTATAGTATGAGTTTATTTTGGTGCCAGAATTTTGAAATCCATGCATAGTTTTTGTGTTATACACATGTACTTTCCAAGAAGTTTTTGAAGTTTATATTTGTTTATTGTATAAATGGGTGAATATGAAAGTACACTGTTACTTATATACAAAGAGCACTCATGAATTTATTTCTGTCTTGTTTTCTCCCTGGTGCAGATTCTGATAATCAAATGAAAATCCAGGACCCAGTTCTTTCATTTGAAAGAGTAATAGAACTTAAAAAAAGTCACTCTGAACAATTTATAGGAAAAATTAAAAAACTGGAAAATAAGGTTAGTGGACTGCAAAAGGAGCTGTCAGAAACCAAAGAGCTCAAGTTACAGTTAGAGCATCAAAAGGTGAAGTGGGAACAAGAACTCTGCAGTTTGCGGTATGACATCTTAGTTTTAAAGAAATGTTCAAGCTGTTCCCTTTATGTATTTACTTATTTGCTATGAGATACATGTACTTGCAAAAGAGAGAGAGAGACACATACACACACACACACACACAGGAAGACAGAGAGAGAAAGTGAGAAATCACTCCCCTGAGGGGGACAGCTATGTTTCATTTCCTTCTCCTCACTTTCTTCTTGGGATTCTGGGAACTCGTGCACATGCGCCTGATGTGTTTTTCAAGCTGCCAGGTTCTGGAGTTGAACCTTACTGTCAGCCATGTGGGATCTAGCTGTTTTAACAACTATACCACCTAATTGGCCCAAATTGTTTACTATAAACTTATGGGTAAAATTTTGTAATTGCTGACTTACCTTCTGGGTTTACAGGGATGAAAACCTTTTAGTCTTATGGAATGTGAAATTTTTGTAAATAATATACCAAGTCAAAGTTCCTAACTGTGAATATGTCTACTAATCATTAAACCTTTTTTTTTTTGCTATAGGGCACATGTGCTCAATATAGAGTAAGAAATTTTGCCCCAGGAGGGATAGCCAAAAGCAGTCCCTTCTTCTCCATTCTCTTGGGATCTGGGGTACACTCTCGCACATGTACCCAGTGTGTTCCTCAAGCTGCTGGGTCGAGTACTCGAATCACGCAGTCGTCCATGTAGGATCCAGCACCTTAACCACCATGCCCCTTGCGGCTCATTAAACCCATATTTTTTAAAATAAGAGTTTAAATGGCTACATGTAAGTTCAGCAAATGGAAATCTCATTTATTTAACAAATCAAATATTGAGATTTTATTTGTATTACAATTAATGCTGCTAGGGACATATTTTATATAAAACTTTTTCTACATTTCTCATTGTTCATTTTGAATAAATTCTTCAATATAGATTATTTGGTTAAAGTAGAAACTTCAAAAAAAGTCTTTGATAAATATTTCTAAGTACTCTCTCAAGAAAATTTATTCTGGAGCTAGGTGGTGGTGCAGTGGTATAACATGATGCTCTGATAGGCTGACTCACATGGGAAGGTTTTGGGTTCACATACACAGACCTCTCTGATACACTGGTTTACATGTGCTTATAATCTGGGGCTGACTAGGATGGGGGCAGATTGTGGCATTGGGACCCTGTTAAAAGTGTTCTTTCTCGCTTTCTCTTCTGTGCTTATGGAAGAAATAAATTTTAAAATTTTTTTAAGAAAGGAAAGTTTATATTAATTTATATTTCCACCACAAAAGGGCCATTTTTATCAACCTGGAATATAAAAACAAATTATATAGTTTTTTTTTAAGAGATTTTTGCTATAGGGAGTGTGTGCTTGCTAGAGAGACAGAGACAGAGAGATGGAAAGCGAGAAATCACCCCCTGGGGGGATGTCCACATTGCAATCTCTTCTCTTCCATTCTCTTCTTGGGATTCTGGGCATGCACGCACTCGCACCTGGTGTGACTCTTAAGCTGCTGGGTCTGGGACTTGAACCAGGGTCGACCATGTGAGAGTCCAGCAACATAACCATTATGCTATTTGCTGGTTGCTGTAGTTTTATTCTTTTTTTTTTTTTTTAGAGGTTTTTGCTATAGGGCGTGTGCGCTCGCCAAAAAGACAGAGAGAGAGAGACAGAGAGACAGAAAGCGAGAAATCACCTCCCGGGGGGGATGGCCACACCATAATCCCTTCTCCTCCATTCTCCTCTCAGGATCTTGGGCACACACGCACACACACCCAACACTGAGTTTAAGCCACCAGGTCCAGGACTCGAACCACAGTCAACTACATGGGAGTCCAGAAACATAGCCATTACGCTGTCTGTGGACCCATGTAGTTTTATTCTTAACGTGCATGGAATGAAAAGTAAAATGAAATGTGATTACTGATTAATTTATTCAACCCCTCTCTGTCATACATGTATAAAATAAACTCGAAATTTTGTGTTGAAAGCATATATTACTCTGTTGTTTAATTATCAGGTACTATCTTATTCCAAAAGGAACTTTTTAAATTGTTTATAAAATACTTAGTAATCAAGACAAAAAAATACTTAGTAATCAATAAGATTAATTGAAAGTTTTACCAAAAAAACATAAAAAGCATGGATAACAGATAATTAGACTCCTGAGCCTAGATTTAAATGATAGCAGTCTGCAGATATATGTTGTGTGAGAGAGACATATGAAGGTGATATCTCACATGGTAGATCATTTTTAGGATTATCTATAATTCTTAATGAAGGTAAAATTTTTTTCAGGCTAACTTTATTTATTTACTTTATTTATGTGAATTTGACCAGAGAGGGACAGAGTGAGAGAGTGAGAGAGCGAGACAGACAGAAAGTGAGAAAACAACCATCTGGGTCTGGGACTTGAATCGCAGTTGGCCATGTGGGAGTCCAGCGCCCTCAACCACCATGCCACCTGCCAGCCCCGATAAAATTTTATTTCTAGTGAATTTATAAACTTACTTATAAACAGTAACTTTAAAAACTTAGTTAACTCTTTTTTTTAAAGAATTATTTTATTTAGCTATTTATTTGTTTGTTTATTTTAATTTGACTAGAGAGGGACAGAAAGAGAAAGAAAGCAAGCTGGCAGGTCCAGGACTCAAACTGCAGTTGGCCATGTGGGATTCCAGCACCCTTAACCACTATGCCACCTACTGGCCCCCCAAAACTTAGTTAACACTTAATTATCCATCCCAATTGAAGAGTAATAATGATTGTGAAGAAAGTAATTTTCATCTTGTAACTTAATAATTTTGACATTACTTTTTCATACTATTTAGCAGAGTTACAGATAGCAGAGACTGTCCAATTAAGTAGAATGTTCTTTCATTGTTTTATCTTTCAAGCATGTATATCCTTTGAAAGAGAGTGAAGTAAGAAATTAAAAACATGAGAACTAGAAAGAAAAAATATCAGAGGACAGAAATCTTATTAGGAAAGTAAGTCAATATATGAAAAGCTAGGTCACAAAATGAGTTTTTTATTTGCTAACAAAATACAGATTTTAAGATAGGCATATTTTATTGCAGATTTGACCTGAGACAAGAAGAAGAGAAGAGAAGAAGTGCTCATATGTTGTATGAAAAAATTAGGGAGCAATTAAAAAGAAAAGAAGACGAGTACAATAAAGAAATTGAAGTGAAACAACAACTTGAACTCACTCTTAGAACCCTGGATATAGAATTGAAAACTGTAAGAAATAATTTGAGTCAGGTAAATTAGTCTTCAGTAAAAATTTTGTATTTCTAACTTTATCTTCAATATTACTAATATATCTCTTTGGTTTAATATATATTATTTGGAGGGAGCAACAGATGGTGTAATGGTTATGTCACTGGACTCCAGTGTAGTTGACCACAATTCAAGTCCCAGATCTGGTGGCTTAAAAAATTCATGCTGGACGCCTGTGCATGTGTGTCCAAAATCCCAAGAGCAGAGTGACAGAGAAGGGAATGCAGCATGGCTGCCTCCAGGGGGTGATTTCTCACTTTCTGTTTCTCTTTCTCTGGCCAAGCGCACATGCCCTACAGGTCACTGGACTCCAGTGTAGTTGACCACAATTCAAGTCCCAGATCTGGTGGCTTAAAAAATTCATGCTGGACGCCTGTGCATGTGTGTCCAAAATCCCAAGAGCAGAGTGACAGAGAAGGGAATGCAGCATGGCTGCCTCCAGGGGGTGATTTCTCACTTTCTGTTTCTCTTTCTCTGGCCAAGCGCACATGCCCTACAGGAAAAAAAAAATATATTTATATGTGTGTGTGTATATATATAGATTTATATGTACCTATAAATAAATAAATAAAATTTGAATTAAAACAAACCAAAGATAACATTTTAATAAATTTACTTAATAAATTAAGTAAAGTTATTTATTGTCCATCTTGGCATCTAATAGACAGTAAGTTTTCTCAGTGAAGGAATATGAGGCAAGTTGAGTTTCATCATTAAAATTTTTTTTTTGTTTTTTTTTTTTTTTTTTTTTTTTTTAAACAGAGTTTTGCCATAGAGTGCATGTGCTCACAGGAAGGAGACAGAGAAATAGGTGAGAAAGGGAAAGTGAGAATCTCCCTTGGGGGGAGATGGCCACACTGCAGTCCTATCTCCTAGTTTTTCTCTTGGGATTTTGGGGACACAAGTACACATGTCCGCCATGTTTTACAAGCTACCAGTCTGGGCTGAACCACTTGGTTGGCCAGGTAAGATCTAACACCTTAGGGGCCATCATGTTGCATAGTGGTTAAGGCACCGGACTCCCATATGACTGACCACAGTTCAAGTCCTGGATCTGATGGCTTGGTTTCTCACTTTCCCTTTCTCTCTCTTTGTCTCCCTTTGGTCAAATTAAAATATAATAATAAATAAAATAAATAATAATAATAAAAAAGATCCAACACTTTAACCACCACATCACCTCCTGGTCCACTTTAGGCAGTTTTATGGTAAAATACAAGTTAGATTGGTGTGAAACTATAATAAAGCTGTTACATATTTTGTAAAACATTTTTATTTCATTACACTGTATCCACTTATATTTAAGAACTATTTTTGCTCTGATAAATTTAGCTGTCACTTATGCAATTAAAATTATAGTAATTCATGTAGGATAAAGGTCTTTGTGCTTTAATAGACTACTTCCTTTACATGGTTTTTATTTTTTTAAGATTTTTCCCACAGGGCATGTACTCTCACCCAAGAGAGACAAAGAGAGACAGTGAGAGGAAAAGTGAGAAATCACTCCCCCCAAGAGGGGATGACCCTTGGGGAATCCCTCACCTCCATTCTCCTCTCAGGATTTTTTTTTTTTATAATTATTTATTTAGTCATTAATTTATTTTAATTTGACTAGAGAGATACACAGAGAGAAAGAGAGGGAAAGTGAGAAAGCAAGCCACCAGGTTCGGTATTTGAACCACAGTTGGCCATGTGGGACTGTCCAGCCCCTTAACCACCACGCCACCTGCTGGTCCCCTCCTCTCAGGATTTTAGGCACGCATGAAGACATGCTCAACATGATTTTCAAGGTACCAGGTTAGGGACTCGAACTTCAGTCAGCTATGTGGGAGTCAGCTCCTTAACCACCACACCACCTGCTGGCCACTTAATGGTTTTCTTACTTTTTTTTTTTAAAGCATCTGCACTTAATTAAGGTTTGGACTTCTGTCTAACAGTAAGGATGAAATACGTAATGAAATGTATTTTTAGGTTGAAGAAGAGCAAAAAATCACCCAGAGGCAACTTTCTCTAGAACAGAATGCCCGAATGATGCAAGATGGGATTCTGAGCAGTCACCTTTGCAAACAAAAGGAGCTAGAAATGACTCAAAAGAAAATGAATTCCGAGGTATTTTCTTTAGGAATTTTCAAATAAATATACATGTTTATGTGTTTGTATGTGAGTATATTTCAAAAATCAACTATTTTTATCATGGAAAGTATAGAATATTTTTAAACCATGTTTATATGACTATGTTTTGGGAGAGTGGTGGTGGTTTGGCCCATGGATAAAGCAGTGTTTTTTTTGGTTGGTTTGGTTTTTTTTGGAGAGGTTCCTGCTATAGGACGCATGCGCTCGCCAGACAGAGAGAGACAGAGAGACAGAAAGCAAGAAATCACCCCCCAAGGGATGGCCACACCACAATCCCTTCGCCGTTCTCCTCTCAGGATCTTGGGCACGCACACACACGCGCCCGGCGTGAGTTTTAAGCCACCGGATTCAGGACGCAAACCGTGGTCGACTACGTGGGAGTCCAACGACATAGCCATTACGCTAACTGCTGGTCCCAAAGCAGTGTTTCTAATTCAGCTCTATTTGTCATTCACAATAGCCTAATCCAATGAGAGGCTTTTGATGTTTTCTGTAGTTATTGATGATCTTTTCATAGTCTGAAAACTCTTCCTATTAACAATAGATATTCTTGGTTTTGGCGGTGATTTTCCTGTTTATTTACTTATTTTATTGTCAAAGGGCATGTATTCTTATGAAGCAGATGGGGGTGGAGGACACCTCCCAGATAGGTGTGGCATGCTACAATCCCTTTTCCTCTAATCAGGATTTTGGGTACACACACACATACCCAGAATGTTTTTCAAGTTGCTGCGCTGGAATTCCAAGCATAGTCAGCCATGTGGGATCTGGCTCCCTTAAACCACTGGGCTACAGGACTGGCCCGTATATATGTATGTGTAGTTAGAAATAAAGATAGATGATATAGTTTTCTTTTTTTGTACACATACCAGTCATCGTTTATTAGGTGTGAATTCTCAAGTGGGATATGAAAGGATTTGGCAAGTTCCTTTGGAGGGGTGCTAAGCCAAAGAGATGAAGGTCTGGTTCAGTGTGTGCCTTCTATGCTGGCCCTCTTCAGTGGTGTTTGCATCACCACTTGTCGTTGAGTTCCTTGTAAGAAATGCAGTAGCCGAAGAGCACCTAAGTGGCCAGCACCATAAACACCCCAGCAATATCCGTTTTTTTTCACGTGAATGTACTGGTAGTAACCTCTTTGAAATGCTCCAGCAATGCCTTTAGGAGTAAAATCCCACATATATATGCAGCTGGGCAGCTCTCCAATATTTTTTTTTTTTTGAGAGGTTTTCACTATAGGGCACTCGCCAGACAGACAGAGAGACAAAAAGCGAGAAATCACCCCCCAGGGGGAATGGTCACGCTGCAATCCCTTCTCCTCCATTCTCCTCTCGGGATCTTGGGCATGCACACACATGTGCCCCGCGTGAGTTTTAAGCCAACCGGTCTGGAACGTGAACCGTGGTCGACTACATGGGAGTCCAGTGACATAGCCATTACGCTAACTGCTGGTCCCAGCAGCTCCCCAATTTTGACATCCACGAGTTCCTTCTCCTGCACTGGTATGACTGACCCACCTGGAGTCCTGGTGGCTGTTGCACAGGATATCCTTGATGCATTAACAGAGAGAGTAGTTTATTACTTTCACTGATTGACAAGGAGAAGAATGGTTCCAAGACAAATTTTGGACATCATTCTCACTTTTAAGAATAACAGTTTGCTCCAAGTAGTATTCAATTTAATTACAAAGAGATTTTGAAAAGAATGATACACCATAATATATACTTATTGATCATTTATTGACAAGTGTTTTCTTCCAAGTAAAATAGGTCAAGATATTTTACCCTATTTTGTATTTATTACTGTTTCAAACACTATGAAAAGAAAACAAAAGTTATTGCAGCAGCAAATAATCTCATGATTTTCTTTTTATATATATTTTTTAAGTCCTCTATAGTGCACTCACTTAGGAGAGAGAGAAAGAGAATAACAGATTACACCCCCAGGGAGAATGACCACACTTCAGTCCTTTCTCCTTCAGTCTCCTCTTAGGATTTTGGCTAGGCATGCACATACACCCTATATGTTTTTTAAGCTGCTAGTCTGTAATTTGAACTGCATAGTTGGGCATGTAAGATCCAGCTACCTTAACCACTACGCCACCTGGCTGGCCCTCCCTTGATTTTCTAAGAAGAGCTCTTGGTGTTTTGAAATTTAAGCCTTTTCTGTATTCATAGTATATGTTTGCACTGTAGAAGTAACTGGTTTGCTGGAAGGACACTGAAAGTAGAGTCAGAAAGCCTGGAGAAGATCCTGCAGCTTGTTTATATTTTTAACCTCTCTTTTTTAGAATTGTGACAACTGGGACCAGCAGGTGGCGTGATGGTTAAGACACTGGACACTCCCACATGGCCAACCATGGTTTGAGTCCCAGACCTGGTGGCTTGCTTTCTCACTTTCCCTCTCTCTCTGTCTCTCTCTGGTCAAATTGAAATAAATGAATGAATAAATAAAATTAAATAAATAATTATTTAAGAAAAAAAAAGAATTGTGACAACTAGGGGCCAGCAGGTGGCATGGTAGTTGAGGTGCTGGACTGCCACATAACTGACCATTGTTTGAGTTCCAGACCTGGTGACTTGAAATTCACAAGTGGCATGTATGCATGCATGCCCAAAATCCCAAGAGGAGAACAGAGGAGAAAGGATTACAATGTGGCCATCCCCCCGGGGTGTGATTTCTCACTTTGTCTCTCTCTCTCTCCTGCCATCTCTCTTTGACGAGCAACAAACACCCTATGGCAAAAACATCTCTGAAGAAAAAAAGAATTGTGATAACTAGATGAATTTTGATGTATGTAGAAGAGCTTAGTACAATGCCTAGGCTTATTATTTATCAGTAAATATAATTATTATACTAAATATAAAAATACTAGGGAGTAGCCAGTGGTGTGGCAGTTAAAGCAGCTGGATCCCACATGCCTGACTGCATTATTTGAGACCCAGTGGTCTGAAAGACATGCTGGGCGTGTGTGTGTGTCTGTCCAAAAATCCCAGAAAGGTAAATGGAGGAGAAGGGATTGTGGCATGGCTATCTCTCATGGAGAGTGCTTTCTCACTTTCTCTCTCTCTCTCTCCAGTGAGGACACATGCCCTCTAGCAAATTAAAAAAAAAAATTAAGAATGGGATGTCTATAGAATATTCTAAGAAAAAGGAACTTAAAGAACTTTGGGAAATTTTGTCTGTCCAAATATATGCAGTTCTAAGACTCTTACTATAGGTTGAACATCTCTAACCTGAAAAATCCCAAATTCAAAACTTTCTGAGTGCTAACACAACGGCAACAGATAATTCCACACCTAACCTCAAGTATCAGATTGCAGCTAAAGCACCTCAATACAGATACACTGTATAAAATTACCTCTAGGCTTTGTGTATAAAATATATGTGAAACAAATGAATTTTGTATTTATACTTGGGTCCTATACCCCAAGATATGCAAATATTCTAAATTAGAAGAGATCCAAAACACTTCTAGTCTCAAGCATTTTGGATAAGGGCTATTTAACCTGTATAAAGTGAACATATACGTTGAGTATCAGAGTGTAAACCAAACTTTTAAACAAAGTCATATTTATCTTTTAACCTTTTATTTTATGCCTTTGTTTTGTTTAGATTCCTTTTTTTTTCTTAAGGTGCATGTGCTCACTGAAGAGAGACAGAGAGAGAAGTGAGAAATCGCCTTTTTGAGGGATGGCCAAGCTGTGATCCTTTCTCCTCTTGGGATTTTGGGCTTGCACGCATACATACCTTGCATAATTTTCAAGCCACCAGGTCTGGGACCTGAATTTCGGGGTTGGCTATTTGGGATCCAGCCTCCTTAACCTCCACACCATCTGCTGGCCCTGGTTTTGTTGACTTACTTAAGCATTCTCTCATTTCTTTTTGATGTTCATAGATTCATTGTCTTCAATTACATTTTTGAATGTTGGAGAATTTATGCTTCTATAAGGCTTGAATTTTTTGTTCAAATTTTTTTCTAGTTAAATATCTGCTATTATAACATACTGTATAAATGTATAGATTACTTTTTAATTTCAGAGGAAATCATGATATGCCATTTTGTTGAGTGCTAGTCAAAAGATCTCCTTTGTTTTACTTAGGTTTCTGATAGTCATGAAAAAGATTTGTTGGACAAAAATCACATATTACAGGATGAAATTGCCTTACTAAGACTGGAAATAGATACAATAAAAAATCAGAACCAAGAAAAGGAAAAGAAATATGTTGAGGATATTCAAATTCTAAAAGAAAAGAATGATGACCTTCAAAAGACAATAAAACAAAATGAGGAAACATTAACCAAAACAATATTCCAGTATAATGGACAACTAAATGTTCTGACAACTGAGAATACAATGCTAACTTCTAAACTGGAGAATGAAAAGCAAACTAAGGAAAGACTGGAATCAGAAGTGGATTCATACCATTCTAGACTGACTGCTGCTATACAAGATCATGATCAAAATCAGACATCAAAAAGAGACCTAGAACTTGCTTTCCAGAGAGCAAGAGATGAGTGGTGTCGTTTACAGGACAAAATGAATTTAGATGCCTCTAATCTGAAAGAGAACAATGAGAATCTTTCTCAACAGCTTTCTAAAGCTGAAAGTAAATTGAATAGCCTAGAAATTGAGCTCCATCACACGAGAGATGCTCTCAGAGAAAAGACTTTGGTTTTAGAGCAAGTACAGAGAGACTTAAGCCAAACACAATGTCAAATGAAGGAAATGGAACACATGTATGAAAATGAAAAACATAAAGTGAATAAATATGTTGGAAAACAGGAGTCCGTAGAAGAGAGATTATCTCAACTACAGAGTGAAAATATGTTGCTTCGACAGCAACTGGAAGATGCTCAAAACAAAGTTGACAGTAAAGAAAAAGCGGTAATTAATATCCAGGACCAGTTTCATGAGATTGTAAAGAAACTTCAAGCTGAGAGTGAAAAACAAAGTCTAATGCTCCAAGAGAGAATTAAGGAGTTAGTCAGTGAGTGTAATCATTTAAAAGAAAAACTGTATCAATATGAAAATGACAAAACCGAAAGAGAGGTAAGTACCAAAATTCAAACTCATATTTGAGTATGGCTAAATGTTGATTCTAGTTGAATTTATAAATATAAAGGTAATGTATTTGCTATATAAGCTTTAAAATATACTTGCTTCCAGCTAATAAAAATTGAACCTAAGGGCCAGTAGGTGGCTTGGTGGTTCGGGTGCTGGACTCCCACATGGCCGATTACAGTTTGAGTCCTGAACGGTGGCCTGCTTTCTCACTTTCTCATTTTCTTTCTTGCTTGTTCACTGTGTCTTTCTCATGTGCCCTATAGCAAATTAAATAATAATAAATGAAATTAAATAATTCTTTAAAAAAAATTGAACCTAAGAGATGCTTTGAGACATTGTGTCACTTATGAAATCTTAAGAGGATAAATTATAAGTTGTTAATAGACTGATATTAATAATGAAGGCATAGGGACTGGCAGGTGGTTAGGGTGCTCGACTCCCACATAGCTGACTGAGGTTTGAATCCCAGACCTGGTGGCTTGCTTTCTTACTTTACTTTTCTCTCTCTGGTCAAATTAAAAATAATAATAAATAAAATTAAATAAGTAATTCTTTTAAAATGTAGGCATATTTTGCTGAAATATTTTTAATGTCTTTATGTTGCAACCTTTTTTTTTTTTTGGAGAGGTTTTCGCTATAGGGCGCGTGCGCTCGCCAGACAGACAGAGAGAGACATAGAGACAGAAAGCGAGAAATCACCCCCCAGGGGGGATGGTCACGCCGCAATCCCTTCTCCTCCATTCTCCTCTCGGGATCTTGGGCACGCACGCACACGCGCCCGGCGTGAGAGTTAAGCCACCGGGTCCGAGACGCGAACCGCGGTCGACTACGTGGGAGTCCAGCGACATAGCCATTACGCTAACTGCTGGTTTCCATATGTTGCAACCTTTTATAACCAGGATGAAGCAGATAAATAGAGATGTTCATGTCAAAAATGAGGGTTTGCTTTTGTTTTGTTTGCCATAAGCTACTTGCACTTATTGGAGAGAAACAGGGAGAGAGCGAGAGAAAGAGAAGCTAAGAAATCACCACCCAGGGGGATGTCCACATTGCAGTCCCTTTTCCTCCATTCTCCTCTGGGGGTTTAGGCATGCACACACATGCCTGGTGTGTTTGTCAAAGGTTTGGGTCTGAGATTCAGACTGTGTAGTTGTCCATGTAGGATCTAGAACTTTAACCTCCATACCATCTGCTTTCCTCCAAAATGAATATTTTTGAGGTTAAGATTCAATTGGGTGATTACCTAGACAATTTGTTACAGATTTCTAAAATGAATTAAGTGGTAGTTAACTTAAAACTTAAGCTAAAAGCATATCTCATAATGCTTTTTCTTCAGTACCTTTTAATATGTTTTTTAGATGGTATAAGTTTTAAAAAATAATTATTTCATATTTTAAAAAGAGTTATTTTTTTATTTAACTTTATTTATTCATTATTTATTTTTATTTTACTAGTGAGGACAGAATGTGAGACAGAGAGAGGGAAATCAAGCTCTCAGGTCTGGAACTTGACCCGCGGCCAGCCATGTGGGAGTTCAGCACCCTTAATCACCACGCCACCTGCCAGCTCCAAAATAACTATTCAAGTTTGTTTTTATTTTATTACTTTTTAATTTGATCAGAGAAAGGGAAAGGGAACACGAGAATGCAAGCTGCCAGGTCCAGGACTCAAACCTCAGTTGGTCCTGTGGAAATCTAGTGTCATAACCACCATGCAACCTGCTGGCTCCCAAATGGTGTGTGTGTGTGTGTGTGTGTGTGTGTTTAGAAGAGAGAGTTTTGCTATAGGATACATGTTCTTGCCAAAGAGACAGCGACAGAAAGACAGGAAGCAAGAAATCATTCCCCAGGGGTGTTGGCCATGCCGCAGTCCCTTCTCCATTCTTCTCTTGGGATTTTGGACACACACACGCACATGCACGCATGGTGTGAGCCACTACGTTCTGGACTTCAACCGCTGTCAGCCCTGTGGGATTCCAGTGACATAACCACTACGCCATCTGCTGGTCCCTAGATGGTGTAATTTTATCCACATCAATTTAAATGGAATTATTTTAGTCTCAGGTTATGTATTCTTCTTTTTTAGACAGGATTCTGCTGTCACCCTTCACCTGCCTCAGCCTCCCAGTTGAGACTGTAGGCACAAACTGTCATGACTTGCCTTTTTTTTTTAGACTGGGTCGTACTGTGTTTTCCAGGCCAGGCTAAGACTATAGGCACACATCACTGTGCCCAGTCTTTAGGTTGAGCGTCTCATGTGGCTCTAACCTACAGACCATAGCATCTTAGCAGCCATGACACCTGAGCTGAGCCTCCTTATTACCTCACAATTCTTTAATGATGCCTACATTTTGTTAGATCATGATGTGAGACAAATGTAGCTAATTTTAGCAAAACTTTTTATTTAATCTTCCCACTGGTATTTATACTTTACCTTGGACATTTTTAGAAATAATTTACTCATAATTTTATTTCAAGGCTCAATTGTTATCATTTGGATATTACTTTGTTTAGCACAAAGATAATTAGCTATCTGTGATTTATTATTTATCTGCGTTTTCAACCTAATGAAGGAGGCTTGCAGAGTTCACAAACAGCAGGAACTAGGAAATGAAAGGACTGAGGTCAGGGAAGGAGGTAGAGGCTGAATTACCTGCAGACTACCTCCAAGGCTGTTGGAATTTTGCTTTCATTCTGTGATTGAAATCTTTTGGGAGGATTCTTGAGCAGACAGTAAAATATGTGAGGTGCTCTGAAGTTATTTTGAAACGTCTCATTAAAAAGATGCAAAATGTTGGGACCAGCAGATAGTGTAATGGCTATGTCGCTGGACTCCCATGTAGTCTACTGCAGTTCAAGTCCCAGACCCAGTGGCTTAAACTCACACCGGGTGCGTGTGCGTGCATGCCCAAGATCCCGAGAAGGAGAATGGAGGAGAAGGGGTTGTGGTGTGGCCATCCTTTTTGGGGGTGATTTTTAGCTTTCTGTCTCTCCATCTCTCTCTGTCTTTCTGGCGAGCACACATGCCCTATAGCAAAAACCTCTCCTCCACAAAAAAAAGATGCAAAATGTTAAAGAGTGTACTCTCACCAGCCCCACCCACATACTCATTTCTTCCAGAGAGTTCAAGGGCTCTTAAGCCTTGTACTTTCATCAGAGGAGGAGGGATAAGTGGGCTGCTGTCTAAGTAACCCAGTACTGTTTTGTCAGGAAGATAGCCCCTTAACTGTGCCCTTAACTGAATCCAGGGATGTATTCATATGAGGAAAAGAAGGTGAATGGATGTATGTGGAGATGTTTTTCAGTGTGTACGTTACAGTAATACATTACTAACATAATTGAGTAATATGGTGATTTATAAAATCAGTAACAGAATTATCTCATCAGGTAGCTATAAGACAGCTTCAACAAGAACTGGCTGATACCCTGAAAAAACAGTCTATGTCAGAGGCTTCACTGGAGGTTACATCACGTTATCGCATTAATTTGGAAGATGAAACCCAGGATTTAAAGAAGAAATTAAGTCAAATGAGAAGTCAAGTATGTTTAAAACTTAACATGTTAATGGTTAATCAATAGCTGGTTGACTATTATAAAGTGTTTCAGGATACTCATTTCAGGGGACAGCCTTCTCTTGTATTTTGGTTATAATCATTGTGCTGTGCTTTCTGCGTTTTTGGCTCCTATTCATCTAGTTTCATTTACTCAGACTGAGTTCACAGTTTCTCCTCCATCAAGCCTTCTCTGACTGTTTTGACTTTCACTTCCCTTCTCTTTAACACTTAATTTTTCATTGCTTTTCTTTTTTTATGAGAGATAATCTTATCTAAGTATAAATTTGCTTAAGGAGGGAATAATAACCTGATATGCATATCACCTATTCTTGTATGAATTAAAAATATTTTAGCTTAACCAATCATTAACATAAAATTTGTATTATGCCAATAACTTTTGCTTTGAGATACTAACATAATAAAACTTTTATTCCACATTTTAAGCATTTAAAATTGGATTACTTAATCCATTAGAGGTGAATTGTTCAATCAAATGTGCAGGTTTTCTCAGTATGAAAAATTTTAAAAAATAAAAAGAAGCTAAATTTGCCTTTCTTCATTATGTAGCCAGGACTGTTATTTACCAATATATAGATTTATAGCACTCTACTACCAGGAAGTTTCTGGCTTCAGCTTTTCCTGATGCGTCATAACATGTATCAGCTCGTCAGCGTGCTTGCCAGCGCACAGCACAGCGTAAGCAGGTGCTGGGACTCAATCTGTTGGGAACCAGGATTTAGTGGTACAAAGCAGTATTTTCAGGTCGAGGTGGAGGTCATGTAAGTTATGTACCACGCAATCCAGGGGATGCTGAGTACTTCCCAGGATGCGATCATGCACTGAGCAGCATAGAGAGAAAGTAAGCTGTGCGTTATTAGAAGTGGAGAATGGTATGGCTGGCTAGTGGGACAGGTGAAAGGTCTATGAAGCAGCGGGCTCTACTCTGGGCTGTGTGCTTCCCTCTTGCTTCCCTCACTCAGTTTTGGAGGACAAGTTACTGCAACGTACAGTGGCATGCCCCCTACCTAAAGCATCAGATTTTATTGGCACTTAAGATACAATAGCATTAGCGAAGTCTCATTGGTCAATTCCTGATGGCATCTTGAAGCATAATTAAGTAGCCATAGGCTTTCTCAGTTTAAATTTGTCTGCTTTCTTCAATAGGTAGGATTGATCAAGGTAATACTTAATTGAAAATATCCCTTATATGAGATTAACTTAGAACTTTCTCTATATTTGACCTAAATGTTTGCATTTTATTCAACTGAGTTAATATGCATAGATTATAAGTTCTGTTTGAAGTAAGATATTTCAGTGTGGTTGTAAGTCCTTATCTCCTAGTCTAGGGTGACTTTCTTGCCTCCCACTGAGTCAGTGATTCTGAAAGTTCTTCATTTGCAGGTAAAACAAGTCTAATAAAAAGGAGGCAGTCGGCACAAAGACTAATTCTCATGCCCACTTGCAAAGCAAAACTTACCAGAATGATGAAACTAGGGCAACTAAATTAATTAATGGATTACTTCATTCAGTCAGGTTGAAGAAATATTACAAATAATAACTTATCTCCCCAGAAGCTGGTATTTTTTTTGTCTCAAATGACACAGTTGTGTTTTTGTAAGAGAAACTTTATTTAATATAACTATGTGCATTTAAGTTAGCACTTCTAAAAGTCATGTATGACAATGCATATTTGTCTATTTCCTAAAGACAAACAAATCAGGAATATCAAATTCATTCGATCTAACATTAAAATATGGTTTCCTTTGATCTCTTTTACTGGGATTATTTCAAAATAAAACAGAAAAAGATGTCTGTCAACAGCAACTCTTGTTGATACAATACAATAGGAATAATACTAACAGCAAATATATATATAGCTTACTATGTGCTACTTATACTTCTAAATATGTTTTGTACATTTCCTAATTTTATCTTTCTGGCATCCAGTGAGGTAGATACTATTATTATCTTCATTTTACAATTGAGGAGACAGACAAAAAGAGTTACTTTGCTCAAGGTCATACTGCTAGTAACTGGTGGAGCTGGGATTCTGTGTTGATAGTGTCAGACTGTTCATGGAACCGCTGGCAGTCAACTAAACCAGCATATTAATTTTTATAATTACTGACATGGTCATGGTTATTTAAATATATGAATATTTTAAATGATAGCTAAGGTAGTAATGGTGTTCAAAATACAAAAACCTAAATGCTCGCCATAAGGTTACTTCCTATCTTTCCCCATTAGACCAGTTTTGTAGGTTTAAGTGGCGTGGTGGTTAAGGGCTCTGGACTCCCACATTGCCAACCATGGTTCGAGTCCCAGACCTGGCGGCTTGCTTTCTTACTTTCTTACTCTTTCTAACACTGTCCCTCTCTGGTCAAACTAAAATAATTGAATAAATAAATAAAATTAAAATAATTCTTAAGGAAAATATATAATTTAAAAACAAGAATAACATTTTAGTCTAGGGGTTGGTAAACTTTTCTGAAAAGGGTATTATTTTATACTTTATGCAGCATAAGATCCCTGTTGTATAATAACAACTAAACTCTGCAGTTACGGCACCAAAGTAATCATAAACAATATGCAGATGAAGCAGTGTGGTTACGGGCCAACAAATTTTAGTTACAGAAACAGGTGATGGGCAGATCGTGCTAGATTCTTAGTAAAGTGTTTTTTTTTCCTTCTAGTTGCATGAAGCACAGAATCAACATGCGGAGGCTGTAAGACATACTGAGAAGATGCAGGATCGCATACAAAAGTACAATTAAAAAATAATTATCAATTTAATTTAACTTATTGTTTTTAAGATTTATTTATTTTAAATTTTATTTATTATCATTATTCGTCAATTTTTGATCAGAGAGAGACAGACAGAGATAAAGGAAGAGTGAGGAAGCAAGCTGTTAGGTTCAGGACTTGAACGGTTGTCAGCCATGTGGGAGTCCAGCGCCTCAACTGCCACGCCACTTGCTGACCCCTATTTATTATTATTATTTTTTAATTTGACTAGAAAGAGACAGACAGAAAGAAATTGAAAATGAGAAAGCAAACCACCAGGTCCGAGACTCGAACTGTGGTCGACCATGTGGGAGTCTATAACCACCCCACTTGCTGGCCCCACAAAAGTACAATTTAAAGTAGCACACAAAATTGCTTGAGTACTCATAAGAATTTAAGCAGTGTAGAGTGAGAATTATATCAGATACCATACTAAATATACCTGTGTGAAGCCTAAGAACATTTTTAGCTTTAAGTTATATTTTTTTTTGGGGGGGGGAGAGGTTTTTGCTATAGGGTGCGTGTGCTCGCCAGACAGACAGACAGAGACAGAGAGACAGAAAGCGAGAAATCACCTCCCAGGGGGGATGGCCACGCCGCAATCCCTTCTCCTCCATTCTCCTCTCGGGATCTTGGGTATGCACGCACACGCGCCTGGCGTGAGTTTAAGCCACCAGGTCCAGGACTCGAACCGTGGTCGACTACATGGGAGTCCAGCGACATAGCCATTACGCTAACTGCTGGTCCCAGCTTTAAGTTATTTTGAAATGCAGATTTTTTGCATACTGTTCCTGAATTTTTGCATGTTAACTATAAAACATATCTAGAAAAATGGGACAGTTACCAAATAATATTTTTTTAAACTTTTAAGAATATATGCAGGTCCAGAATAATATGCTGCTCTGCAATGCTAGAGCCACTTGGTCCCTTGGGATTTGGCTCTCAGCTTGAGAACATACTGGGGACATGCATTTGCGTCCCTGTGATCATGGCTGGCTAGAGGCTGACAGGCCAGCTAGAGCACTAGAATGGGACTGTGCTGTGACTAGACCCTGTCTCTCTCTCACTTGCTGTCTCTCTTTTATTTATTTATTTCTAAAATTTTATTTATTTATTTATTTATTTTTGAGAGATTTTTGCTATAGGGCATGTGCACTTGCCAGAGACAGAGACAGAAAGTGAGAAATCACCCCCCCAGGGGGATAGTCACACCACAATCCTTTCTTCTCCACTTTCTCTCTTTTTTTTTTTTTCTTTTTCTTTTTTTGGAGAGGTTTTTTGCTATAGGGTGTGTGCACTTGCCAGACAGACAGAGAGACAGAAAGCGAGAAATCACCCCCCCAGGGTGGATGGCCACGCCGCAATCTCTTTCTCCTCGATTCTCCTCTCGGAATCTTGGGCACGCACGCACATGCACCTGGCATGAGTTTAAGCCACCGGGTCCGAGACTTGAACCATGGTCGACTACGTGGGAGTCCAGCGACATAGCCCTTACGCTAACTGCTGGTCCCATCTTCTCCACTTTCTCTCAGAACCCTGGACTCGCAGGCACAAATTGCCAGGCCTGGGACTTGAACTGTAGTCAACCACATGAGAGTCCAGCAATGCAACCACCACACTGTTTGCTGGTCCTCATTTGCCATCTCTCAACCTCTCTCTCTCTCATGAAATAAGCAATCTTTAAAAAAATAATTTATGTAATTACACCTTCAGCAGTGACATTTTTTACAAAACTGATTTGTGAGAATAATTATGTTAAAATATACATTTTAGGCTTGAAAACGAAAATTCCAAGTTCAAAGTTACAATGAAAAAGCAGGCAAGCAAAATTGAAGAGCTTCAGAAGAACCTGTTAAGTACAAGTTCAGTAAGTCAATTTTTAAAATTTCTGTCACACTAAAAAGGAATATTTTATTTCTTTAGCAGTCATCTACAAGAATATTTTAGACAATATAAAAAGTCTCATTGATAAAAATAGTTATTATATTTATTTTGATATTATTTGTTACTGGTAGTACAGGTTGTCTTAAGTATTGGGTCATCTGAAAAGTCATAATGCGTTTTTGTTTTTCTGTACAAAAATGCATTATGACTTTTCTGAATAAAAATGCATCATGACTTTTCTGATAACCCAATAGAATTTGGCTGAATTTATATACTCGATGATTTTGGTAGTAAGATTTTTTTTTTTTTTTAAAGAGATTTTTGTTATAGAGTGTGTATGCTTGCTGGAGAGACAGAAAGAAAAGCAGAAAGTGAGAACTCACACCTCAGGGGGATGGCCACACTACAATCCCATCTCCATTCTCTTCTTGAGATTCTGGGCATGCACGCACATGTGCTTGGTATGAGTTGCAAGCTGCCAGGTCCAGGACTCAAACTGTGGTCAGGCATATGGAAGTTCAGTGCCGTAGGCACTATGCCACCTGATGGCCCTGGCAGTAAGATTTTTTTTTGGAGGGGAGAGGTTTTTGCCATAGGGCGCGTGTGCTCGCCAGAAAGACAGAGAGAGACAGAGACAGAAAGCAAGAAATCACTCCACAGGTGGGATGGCCACACCACAATCCCTTCTCCACTATTCTCTTCTTGGGATCTTGGGCATGTATGCACGTGCACACGCACCCAGCGTGAATTTAAGTCACTGGGTCTGAGACTTGAACTGTAGTCAACTACATAGGAGTCCAGTGACATAGCCATTATGCTAACTGTTGGTCCCAAGATTTTTATGAAAATTATTGTGACTGGGGCCGGCAGGTGGCTTGGTTAAGGTGCTGGACTCCCACATGGCATCTTGGACCTGGTGGCTTGCTTTTTCACTTTCCCTATTACTCTCTGTCTCTCTCTGGTCAAATTTAAAAATAATAATAATAATAAATAAGATAGAATAATTCTTTTTTAAAAATATATTTATTTATTTTATGTTATTTATTCATTCATTTATATTAATTTGATCAGAGAGAGACAGAGAGTAATAGGGAAAGTGAAAAAGCAAGCCACCAGGTCCAAGATGCCATGTGGGAGTCCAGCACCTTAACCACTACGCCACCTGCTGGTCCCGATAAAATAATTCTTTAAAAAAATAGAAAATGATTGTGATTACCTAAAACCAGTCACTAGTTCATGTATGCCACATTTCATTTATCCATTTATGCATTGATGGACATTTGCATTATTTCTACTTTTTTGTGAGTAACTCTACCGTGAATGTTGGTGTACAACTGGTAAGTCCCTGCTAGTATCTTATAATATCTTTCAAAATTCTAAGAATTTGATTAATAATTCGATCTAGAATTCGGAATTTTTCTTATGATCCAAACCCTTCAGTGAGATTTTGAGAATTAATTACTTTTAATATTATAGTTTGTATTTCTCATCAAGAGTGGATCCTAGATTCTTATATAAGTGCTTTTAAAATTTTAATTATTTATTTATTTATTTGTTTTTTGGAGAGGTTTTTGCTATAGGGTGCATATGCTCACTAGGAAGACAGACAGAGACAGAGAGAAAGTGAGAAATCAGCCTCCAGGGGGGATGACCACGCCGCAGTCCCTTCTCCTCTCCTCCATTCTCCTCTTGGGATCTTGGGCATACATCACAATGCACCTGGCGTGAGTTTAAGCCACCGGGTCCAGGACTCGACCCATCATGATCAGCTACATGGGAGTCCAGCGACATAGCCATTATGCTGACTGCTGATCCCTGTAAGTCCTCTTTTTTTCCTTCCCCAAAGGAATTTGTTTTTCTCTTTGGATTTCATTTTAAGAGAAAAGAGATGCTAGTTCAAAAGTGGAAATGACTATTCCATCAGTGTCTTTCAGAGTAACTAGTGCTCTTAGCATTGCAGATTCAAAGACTGATATTTTTTACTCTCCTGTATTGAGCATCCTTTCAAAGGTTTAACAGTCCAATCTTTGGGGTATATTCAGCACACCAATTTATTGATGTATAGTGAATATTACATAACTATTGGTTTGTTGGGAAAGTCATGATGCATTTTTGCATTAAAAAAATGGAAAAAAATGTCACGTCATGACTTTTCTGATGACCCAATATTTACTAAACAGAACAGGATTCTCATGTAATTTATGCTTCCCTTTGTAGGAATTAAGGTCAGAAGATGGATGCTATGAGGTAGATGCTCCTAAGTAAGTTCATTCATAGTAGTGAGTTTCAAGTAGCTTCACTGCACAGACACACCTACCAGGGGAGCTAGAACATTTGGCCGACTGGTGTTTTTCCAGGTGGAAGAAACATTAAAAAGTTTTTTTTTCCCCGAGACCAGCAGATGGTGTAACGGTTACATCGCTGAACTCCCACATAAGCCAACAGTGGTTCGAGTCCCAGGCCCAGCGGCTTAAAACTCATGCCAGGCACATGTGCATTTGTGTGTGTGCCCCAAATCCCAAGAGGAGACTGGAGGAGAAGGGATTACAACATGGCCTTACCCCCCCGGGGGGGGGGTGATTTCTCACTTTCTTTCTTGGTCTTTCCAGCGAGCGCATGCTCTCTATAGCAAAAATCTCTAAAAAAATTATTTTTTCCATTTCTTATAAATTAATACCATTTTATTAGCATACTTTTCATGTAAGTGACATGTTGATAAAGGAGCTTTCTGTGAATGAGACAGCCAGGGGACATCTCCTGTCTGACATAAGTGTCAAAAATCGAAAAGAGAGTATCCAAAACTTACTAAACATATTCAGAAATACTGAGGGGCCCAGACATGGTAATGTGTGTTGGTAGTCACTGCTACTTTGCAGGATGAGACCACAAGAGGGACCTGCTTTCGTTTCCACATCTACCCTAAAAGCTGGATATGGTGGTATATGCCTTTAGTCTTAGCTTATATTAGGCTCAGTGGGGCGATAGTGACGCACAGGGAGACCCTAACAGGAGGGAAAAAAAGTTAAGGGATTTTCTGTATACTCCAATACAAATACATTAGGAATGTGACAGTATTATTAGCCACTTTGAAGTCTATTCTGGGAATTTAAAAAATGTAATAAAGACACCATTCAATTCAGTCAGTAGCCCCTCACTTCTTCAGAAGCTTCTTATCTCTTGAAACTTTAGGCTGGAGACTACATGGGTTAATATATATGATGGACATAATTTTGAGATGAAGACCCTGGACTAGGAAAAAGATAGCAGTGGTGGGCCTCAAGCCTCCAAATATAGTTGAGTGTGCTCTGAAAGAAATTTAAGAACTAGAAGTTTTTAAGATAATGTCCCCATGGAAAAGGAAATTATTCAAAAGAGAACAAAGGCAAATAATTGCTATCTCACTCTTGTGGGAAAGTTTTGCATCTTAGAAGAAAAACAAGGCAATGTGTGTAGTTAGCATCCTAAGGGCAGGATGCCTCCTGAGATTAGAATATAGCACTACACTCAAAATAACTCCAGTAAGAACTAAAATGAACTTAGACGATGAGCCAAATACTAAAGTAGTCCACATCAAACAGTGGGTCTTGAGTGTGTGCTTGAGATACTGTCTGTAAGAAGTGACTAGAAGGAAGAGAGAAAGGAACAAAGGGTTTAAAGAGGCCAGGGCCAGAGATGCAAATTAAGGAATGAGTTGAAGCCTTAGAGATTTAAGGAAGTCTGGGAGATTTAAATGGAGGAATAGAAAGGGATGGGACTGAACTTCAGGGGTTGCTGCATTTGGAAATGAAGTGAGATTAGAGGAGCAGAAGGAGGAGTAAATGATGAAATATTAATAATAGATCCGTGGATAAAAAAAACGGAGTTGTAAATGAGACTATACATTAAAGAATATAGTAGACTGATAGAAAACCAATAGGCAGAAGTTACATGTCATTGAAAAAAACTTGAACTTTATTTAGCGAGAAATGGTTAGAAGAGGAAAGATTGAAACCAGTAGAGGAATGCTTACTGAGAATGAGAGTATCTCATCCTGAAGTCATCAGGATAAGAAAATGTAAGGGGAGCCAGATGAGAGTTTTCAAAATGTTATTTTAGTAAGATATGATTTAACAAAACATGGAGTATTTTCAATTTTCGATGGAAATATTTCTAGGGCATCTTTAGAAACTAAAATGTAAATCTAACAACTTAAACATTTTTTTTATTCGTTAACTCTTAGTATTTTATTAATGTGCGTCCATGCCCAAGATCCCAGGAGGAGAATGGAGGAGAAGGGATTGCAGAGTGGCCATCCCCTCTCTGGGATGATTTCTCACTTTCCCTTTTACTGTCTCTGTGTGAGTGTACACACCCTAAGGCAAAAACCTTAAAATAATAATAATAATTTTTTAAAAAGAGTTCATTAACTCTTAGTTTCTGTCACCTACATTAAAAAAAAACTTTTTTTTTTTGGAGAGGTTTTTGCCATAGAGTGCATGCGCTCGCCAGACAGACAGAGACAGAGAGACAGAAAGCAAGAAATCATCTCCCGGGGGGATGGCCACACCGCAGTCCCTTCTCCTCTATTCTCCTCTCAGGATCTTGGGCATGCACACACACGTGCCCAGAGTGAGTTTTAAGCCACCAGGTCCCGGATGCGAACCATGGTCGACTACATGGGAGTCCAGCGACATAGCCATTACGCTAACTGCTGGTCCCCAAAAAAACTTTTTAAAAAAATAATTATTTGATTTAAGTTTATATGTTATTATTAGCATAGTTTTAAAAGATTTGGCAGAGAGAAAGAGAGAGGAAGTGAGAAAGCAAGCTGCCAGGTCCAGGACTTGAACCACGATCAGCCATGTGGGAGTCCAGTGCCTTTAACCACCATGCCACCTGCCTGCCCAAGAACTTGTATTCTTTTTTTAAAATGATCTTTTATTATTAATATTCTTTTTTTTTTTTTGAGAGGTTTTTTTTGCTATAGGGCATGTGCGCTCGCCAGACAGACAAAGAGAGACAGACAGAAAGCGAGGAATCACCCCCTAGGGGGGATGGCCACGCCGCAATCCCTTCTCCTTCATTCTCCTCTCGGGATCTTGGGGATGCACACACACGCGCCCGGCGTGAGTTTTAAGCCACTGGGTCTGGGACATGAACCACGGTCGACTACGTGGGAGTCCAGCGAATAGGCTTTACACTAACTGCTAGTCCCCAATATTATTATTTTTTAAGTGTGCTATAGAGAACGTGTGCTCACCAGAGACAGAGAGAGACAGAAAAAGAAAGTGAGAAAGCACGCCACCAGGTCTGGGACTTGAACTGCAGTCAGCTGTGTGGGATTTTATCCCCTTAACCACCCTGCCACCTGCTCTCCCTAACAAATTTTACTAATTTAGATGAGGAAAGTATAAATCAATTTGAGCTGTTTTTAAAAAAAAATTCATTTTGAAAACTGTCCTTACTGGTATCAAGTTTATAAATTATCTAAACTTTGTAAACCTGTCTAAACACAATTATAGGTTAAGCATCCCTAATCTAAAAATATGAAATCTGACTCCAAAATCTGAAACTTTTTGATCATTGACATGATGCCACAAGTAGAAAATTCCATACCTGACCTCATGTGACAGGTCACCACAGTCAACACAATGTAACATGAGAATACTGTATAAAATTATCTTCAGACTATGTGTATAAGGTACATATAAAACATAAATGAATTGCGTGTTTAGCCTTGGGTTCCATCTTCAATACTAGTTCATTCTTTATGTGCACATATTCTAAAATCTGTGCGGATCTGACATCTAAGATACTTGTGGTTCCAAGAATCTTGTATAAGAGATGCTTAACCTGAACTCATGAGAAATAACATTTTTAAGAAAGAAGAGAGTCTCTAGATATTTTTTTTTGAGTTTTTGCTATAGGGCGTATTTTTTAAAATACTTCTAAAAATACTTCTCTTTTAATTTTTTTTCAAAGTCTGAGGATGAAAAAGAACAGTTAAAGACACTTACTGAGTTAAAGCAGTCTCTGGAATATAATTTGGATCAAGAAAAAAAGAAAAATGGTGAATTAGAGAAAGAATTAACTGGGTAAGATTTTAACATTTCAGATCATTTTAATCATTCATTAATTGATTTAACTACAAGTTTACTTCACTTTTCTAATACTTAAATACAAATTTATTTTATATATGCACTTTCATAATTAAATAAATTATTCTATTTTAAAATTTACTTCAGAAGTTCATAGCACAATCCGAAACTATTTTTAAATGTGGAAATATTATATTTATTCTTTAATTATTTTGGAAACAATAACAATAATGCCTTTAATAATGCCATCTGTACTCTTTATCATCTACTTTGTTGTTTTTATTTCTGAGGGTATTTTTGCTTTGTTTGGTAATTTCTTATTTTGTTGGTGTCCTCTTCAGCATTAAAATATTTTAATGTCTAGAAACCTTTCTATTGTTCTTTAACATCAATTTTTTATTTTATTTTATTTTTTAGTTTTAGTTTTAGTTTTTCTATGGGATACGTGTGCTTGCTGGAGAGAGACAGAGAGTTAAAGTGAGAAAGCACCTACCCAGGAAAGAAGGCCACACTACACCACAACAGACCCTTCTCCTCCATTCTCTACTCAGGATTCCAGGCACTCATACACTTGTACCCAGCATATTTCCTGAGCTCCTGGGGCCAGGACTTGAATCCCACAGTCAGCTATGTGAGATCCAGCTGCCTTAACCAACTAACTGCTGGTCCCCAAAATTATTTTGATTGACCTTATATTTTCTTTCTGCCTCTTTATTTTTTTAGTTACAAAAATGTGTGGAAATTTAGTCATTTTCCATGGGTACCTCTCATATGTGTATGAGGTATACATGTTATTAAACTTTGTTTAATGGGGCCAACAGGTAGCACAGTAGTTAAGTTGCTGGACTCCCACATGACCTACTGCAGTTTGAGTCCTGGACCTGGTGGCTTGCTTTCTCACCTTCCCCCCTCTGTCTCTCTCTCTCTTGCTAAAATAAAAATAAATAAATAAAGTTAAATAAAATAATTCTTTAAAAACAAAACAAAACAGAAACTCTGTTTTTAAAAAATTGCACTCATACACATACACATATATCATGCATTTGTATTATATATACACATACGTACATGTATACCATACATAGAAAAATATGTGTTTTACATAAAGAAGAATAAAATGAGCAGTTGTTTCTACCATCCAGATTTAAAAAAAGAATGTAATGTTCTCCAGTATCTTTGAAACCCCCAGCATAAATGCTTTTATATTTATTTGTTTAGTACTTAAGTTGATCTCTGATTCTGATCAATATTTTTCTCTCACTTAACTGTCTTTCTCTACATGGTTTTGTACTCCTTTCATTTTGTTAACATTGTGCCAGCAAAGAGCTCTTAGTTCTCTTCTTTCTCATTATTCATACATTAAATCGTTATACATCATTTAGATTGTGAAGAAACTTTACCCAGCATAATATACACTTCAGTTCAGCCTAGTTGAGACTATTATACACATCCTTGTCAACAGATAGTTAACCTTATCTGTGTCCCACAAGTGTCTTACCTGTCCATTTTCCCCCCAAATTTCCTTTCCTGTGCTCTCCCCCTCCCACCCTCTCTTTCCTTTTTGTCTCTAGTGTCCATTACAATTTTTAATACTTTTATGTTCTCCAGTCTTTCAGTCTCTACCATAGAGTGCAGACAATTGGTATATGTTAAGTGGAGACATATGATGTCTCTCTTTCATAGCCTGACTTGCTTCACTCAGCAACAAATCTTCCATATTCATCCACTTTCTATCAAATTCCAGGGCTTTGTTGTTTTATTTTTGGCTGAATAGTATTCCATGGAGTATATGTTTCATAATTTTGCAATCCATTCATCTGTTTGTGGACATTTGGGTTGGTTCCATGTCTTAGCAATCGTGAATAATGTTGCAATGAAAATAGTTGTGCAAGCACTTTTCTGACTGAGTGCTCTCCTGTCCTTTGGGTAGATACCCAGGAGTAGAATTGCTAGATCATATGGTAGTTCTATTTGAAGGTCTTTGAGGAACCTCTATATTGTTCTCCACAGTGGCTGGACCAATTTACAACCCCACCAATAGTGTAGGAGTGTTCCCCTTTCACCACATCTTCCCAGCACTTATCATTACTTGTTTTTTTAATCTTCACCATCCTGACTAGGGTTAGGTGGTATCTCATTGTCGTTTTGATCTGCATCTCCTTTACAAAAAGGGATGTTGAGCATTTTTTCATATGCTTTTTGGTTGTTTGTATGGAGAGGAGTTCATTCAGTTCATTTTTTCATCTTTTAATTGGGTTAATCATTTTCTTCCATTAAGCTGCTTGAGTTCCCTGTGTATTCTGGTTATCAGTCCCTTATCTGAGGCACAGTTAACAAAACAGTTTTTTAGTCTTTCCACATTACTTTGTGCTTGAGTTCCTTTCTTCTAAAGCTCTGCCTGTTTCCTTTTTCCACTTAACTCAGTCTTCAAAGATGTTTCTTCTGATTCTTTTCCCATGTTGAATGATCTCCTTGATTTTTTTTTTTTTTGGTGTATACATTCCTTTCTTCTGTTCGACTGTGGTCAGTGAGCACCAATATGTATTTTTGTATCTTTTATAAACATTTCTAAGTGGTTTTCCTCTTTACCTTCCATACTAATCTCTGGGTTATAGCTCATGTTTAGTAATTAAGTATTTTATATTAACATACTAAAATGGATGTTTTCTTTATAAGAACTTTGTATATGGCAACAATATTAACTCTTCATTCACAATATATGTCATACAGATTTTCTTCCTATAATTTACTTAAGATTATAATTTTGTTAGAATGCTTTCAAACAATGTTAGGTTGAAGCAAATGAGAGATGATCATAACTTATAGATCATTTTCCTTATGTAATAGAACATAGTATCTGTTTAAAAACAATTACTAAATATTTACTCTTAAAAAAGCTTGACTTAACTTGTTCTGAACATTCCTACAGATTTAAGAAACTCTTAGAAGTGACAACAGAGAAGTTAAATGAATATGAAAATGGAGAATTAAATTTCCAAGGAGATTTAAAAGCCAATCAATTTGAAATGGATGTTCAAGTTAATATGCTAAAACATAAGGTAATTTTCTTTCTTTCTTTTTCCCTCTCTTTCTTTCTTCCTTTCTTTCTTTTTTTGTTTGCTATAGGGCGCGTGCGCTCGCCAGACAGACAAAGACAGACAGAGAGACAGAAAGTGAGAAATCATCCCCCAGGGGGGATGGCCACACCACAATCCCTTCTCCTCCATTCTCCTCTTGGGATCTTGGGCACACACGCACACGCGCCCGGCGGGAGTTTTAAGCCCCCGGCTCCGGGACCCGAACCGCGGTCGACTACATGGGAGTCTAGCAACATAGCCATTACGCTAACTGCTGGTCCCCAAAATAGCTTTTTAATACATAATTTTCTATTTTAGAAAAGCCTTACTGTTGATTCTGATGTCTTGAATTCTTGCCAAGAAGTACACCATTACATGACCCCAAGTCAATAGTATCAAATCAATTTTTCAGAAACATCTTTATTGAGATTAATTGACATACCATGCAATTCACTCATTTAGTGTATACAATTTAGTGGCTTTCAGTGTTCTCACAGAGTTATGCGGTCATCACCACAACCAATTTTAGATTTTTTCATCCTAAAGAGACAGACTGTTAGCCATTCCCACCAGTTCCCCTTTCCCTGCTCAGCCCTAGGGAACCACCAGTCTCTTTTGTCTCTATAAGTTTACCTATTCTAGATATTTCATACTGATTGAACCACACAGTATGCGGTGTTTTATGACTAGGTTCTCTCATTTAGCATAATGTTTTTAAGGTCTATCTGTGTCATAGCATGTTACCGGTACTTCATTTCTTATTGCTGAGTAATATTCCATTGTATGGGTTTATTTTACATTTTATGTATCCATTCATCAGTTGAACCTTTCTTTGGGTTGTTTTCACTTTTTGGCTATTATTAATAATGCTGCTATGAAAGTTTGTACAAACTTTCATGTTTGTTTCTGATTTCATTTCTCTTATGAGCAGAGTTGCTGGGTAATGTGGTTGCACTCTGCCTAACCTTCTGTGGAGCTGCCAGTCTGTTTTCCAAATCAGCTGCACCATTTTACATTCCTGTCAGTATTGTATGAGGGTCCTAATTTCTCCATATCCTTGTCAATTCTTATCATTCATCTTTTTTGATTGAGAAAGGATTCCATTCTAGTGGTGTGAAAGGATATCTCAGTTTGGTATTGATTTGCATTTCCCTATTGACTAATGATATTAGACATCTTTTCATGTGCTTATTCACCATTTCTGTATCTTCTTTGGAGAAAAGTCTATAAATTATTTGCCTATTTTTAATTGGGTTTTCTTTATTTTTAATTGTAGAAGTTCTTTATATTTCTAAATTCTAAATCTTTTATCAGATATGTGATTTTCAAATATTTTCTCCTCCTCAGTAACTTGCCTTTTCACTTTCTTCTAGATGATTTTTTTCCTCTCTCTCTTTTTCTTTTTTTAGCGGCCAGAGAGCATGTGCATGTGTGAGAGAAAGAGAAAGTGCAAGCGCCCCCCCCCTCCCCCGTGGTCAGCATCTATGTAGCAGCTGGTCCCTTTACTCCAGCTTTAAGTATCATTTTCTTCACCAGCCTTGAAACCCTTCTGCTAGCCTCTTCGGTGGCCATGGGCTTCCCCTAAGCATCTCTATGAAGCCCTTTTCATTTTCATTATTATCCTTCTCTAGGTCCTTTTAGTTTCCATTTGTCTCTTGGTCCAAAGGGGATCCTACATGTTTGAGTATTTTTGTTTGTTTTTAGTGGTAGTACCCAATATTTAGTATCAGTTATTTTGTGAAGTTTCTTTTCCATGATAGAGGGAGACAGAGAGAAACAGGCATCCCCAACAGGGTCTTCATGCCAAAATCCCATCGCTAGCCTCAGCCAGCCCAGATCATGGACATGTGTGTGGGCTCCTGGTGTGTACAGGGAGATCTTGGGTCATGAATCCAGGACATTCCCCTGTACCTTCAGCATCACAATGTTATGTTTCCACTGCACTGCTATGGCTGGCCATGGGTGACAGTTACTTACCTGCTGTATAATAGATGACCTCAGAATCCATCGTCTCAAAACAACTTTTTATAAACTTTTGTTTATAATCATCAGTTTAGGCCAGCTTCAGTAGGACCAGATTATTTTTCTTCTATTATGCATCAAATGGGGTGACTTGAAGGAGAGGATTAGAATCCTCTCAAGGCTTATTTATTCACATGTCTAGCTATTGAAACTGATTTTTTGCTAAGACTTTTTTTTAGAGTGGTTTTTTTTTTTTTTTTTGCCATAGGGCATGTGTGCTCACCAGAAACACAGAGAGAGACAAAGAGACACGGGAGGCAGGGGATGGCCACACTGTAGTCCCTTCTCCTCTGTTCTCCTGGGATCTTGGGCACACATGTATATGTGCCCAGTGTGAGTTTGAAGTCACCGGGTCTGGGACTCGAACCACAGCCAGCCATGTGGGAGTTCAGCGACATAACCACTGTGCCATCTGCTGGCCCCTTGGCTGAGACTTTAGCTGAGGCAGTCATTTAGTATGTGACTTGGGTGTCCTTACAAAATGTGGCTAGATTCCCAAGGTGAGCTTCCCTCTAGAGAAAGTCAGGTGGCAGCTGTGTCAGATTTTCTAATATAGCCTTGGAGGTCACATAGCAGTTTCACCATAGTTACTTACTAAAAATCAGCTTCTAAGGCCGGCTATATTCAGGAGAGGGAATGTTATAGGGAAAATAAAGAATTTGTAGACCTGTTTTAAAATCACAACTGTACTCATCTTTATAAAACATCAAGTAATCATTTCATTTAAAGGAAAATAGTTCTTGGGACCAGCAGTTGGCTAGTTGCTGGACTCCCATGTAGTCAACCATGGTTTAAGTCCTGCACCCAGCGGCTTAAATTCATGCAGTACCTGTGTGTGTGTGTGCCCAAGATCCGGAGAGACGAATGGAGAAGGGATTGCAGCATGGCCATCCCCCCCGGGGGGTGATTGGGTGATTTCTCGCTTTCTGTCTGTCTCTGTTTGTCTTTCTGGTGAGCGCATGCACCCTATAGCAAAAACCTCTCCAAAAAAAAAAAAAAAAGAAAGAAAGAAAGAAAATAGTTCTTACCAACTCAGTATGACTGAAATTCCAGCAAGTTTTGTTGTTGTTATTGTTTACTATGCTCCTTTATTTTGTAGAAAGTAGCGAAGGATTAGGATTACAAGATAGTATTACTGAATTAAGGCATTTTTGTTAAAAATAAAACATGTATAGATCATTTCACTAAGCTTTTCTACTGGGAGATGTGATTACTCCTTGGAATGCAATAAAAATTAGCATAAAACACAGCAGTTCAGAAAAGATTTATGGCATTAAAATCCATATTTATAAGATTTATTAATTAGAGTCTTATTTTTCAAAATATTATTTGAGAAGCCATTTATTTACTCAGACTTAATTAATCAATATCATGTCCTTGAAAGAATGAGGAGTGAAGATGGGAGAAAGGAGTAAGAGACTTTATTCAAAGAGGTAACCTAGAGCCATTTCAAAGAGGAAATACATGAAACAATTCGAAATATAAGTCTAAGATTGAGACCAGTGTATGGCAAAGACAAAGAAAGTAAAGAATATATTTTTGTGACTTTTGGTATTTTAAACTTTGTTTAGGATTTTCTGAGTAATTTAAGGGTCTATTTTCTACGAACTTTCTACAATAGAAATCTCATTTCACTGCATCTGAATTTATTTAATAATGTATTATTGGTTTTATCTCAGACTGTGTTCAGCATGTTTCCTTCCATTATCAAAGTATATTCTTTTATTCATGCAGATTGATGATCTTACAGCAGAACTGGAAACTGCATCATCAAAATGTGTACATCTAGGCGCAAAGAATCAAATTCTTAAGCAGGAATTGTCATCTATGAAAACAGTACGGAAGAAATGTGTAAAACTAGAGAAGAATAACCTGAAGTTGGAACAAGAAATAGTAGACCTCAAAAGTCATATGAAAATAAATATGGTAGAACTTGTTCAAGTAGAGCAGTATAAACGGGAGATTGAAGAAAGAGCAAGACAGGATATAGTAGAAAAATTAAAAGAAGTCAATCTGTTTTTACAGGTTAATTTGTTTATCTGTAATGTGCTTTATTTCCTTTTACTGCAAATTACTTTGGGAATGTATACATTGTCTTATATTATGTACACTTCCCTTAGAGTGGTTTCTTTTGTAAATTTCTAGAAGCAAGGTGGCATCTGTTTCTCCTTTTGAATATTTTAATTTTTATCACTATTACAACTAAATTGGCCTTTCAGAATAATGGGTCATATTAGAGAACCATTTGATTATTAAGACCTGTTGGTATAAATTAAGACTTAGGAAGAAAAGACAAAATTGTGATTGAGCAATTATACCATATTCTTGAATTGTTTTCAAGTTAAATTGTTCAGTCTTTTCATTTTCAAATCAACTCTATTATTCTTTGAATTATCCATATTACATAAGTAATAATATTAGAATAGCTCACCTTTTAATTTATTAATTGATTGATTGATTAATATGAAAGACACACATATGTGCGTATGTGACAGAAAGAGAAAAATCGTTCTCCACTGGGGCTGGTTAACACCGCCATCTTTTTCCCTCCACTGTTCCATCCTGTTAGGATCTTGGGCAGCATGCCCAGCATGTAAGCCACAGGGACTAGAACTGAACTCTAGTCAGCCATGTGGGATCTGGCTTCCTCTACACAGTGCACAATAGTTCTGTTAGAGGGTGAGCCCTCAAAACATTTTAAAAAATACTTGTTGCCAGAAGTGTATGTACTTGAAGAGAGAGAGAAAGCACCCCCAATGGGGTGTGGTAATGTTGCAGTCCTTTTCTTTAATTTCTCCTTCCTATCAGGATTTTAGGCATGCATGTACACGTACCTGGCATGATTTTCAAGCTGCCAGGGTCAGGATTTATACCATGATTAGCCATATAGGACCCAGCCCCCAATGTGCAGTGCTTAATTACTATGCTATGGGACTGGTCCCCCAAATGTGTTTTTTGTTTTGTTTTGCTTGCTATTAGGTACATGTACTCACCAGAGACAGAGAGAGAGAGAGAGAGAGAGAGAGAGAGAGAAAGAGAGAGAGGACAGTGAGAAAGCACTTCCCAGGAAGATGGACATGCTGCAATCCCTTCTCTTCCACTTTCCTTTTGGGATTTTGGGCATATATGCACATATGCCCAGTGTGTTTTTCAAGCCACTGGGTCCAGGATTCAAACCATGTAGTCAGATATGCAGGATCCAGACACCTTAACCTCCATTTCATCTGCTGGCTTAAAGGTAAATATTATAAATTTCACCTATTTTCCACATATTTAAAATTGCTATTTGAGTCAGTAGCTCAAAACTAAAGCAAGCAATGGGACCAGCAGTTAGTGTAATGGCTATATCTCTGGACTCCCATGTAGTCGACCGCGGTTCGAGTCCTGGATCCGGCGGCTTAACCTCACGCCAGGCGCGTGTGCATGCGTGCCGAAGATCCCAAGAGGAGAATGGAGAAGGGATTGCGGTGTGGCCATCCCCCCTGGGGGGCGATTTCTCGCTTTCTGTCTCTCTGTCTCTCTTTGTCTTTCTGGCGAGCGCACGCGCCCTATAGCAAAAACCTCTCCCAAAAAAAACCTAAAGCAAATAAATACCTAAGAATTCAAGTTATAATTATTTACTAAAATCTATCTTTTTAGGATGGCTATATAGCCTAGTGGTTAAAGGAGCCTGATCCCACCTGGCTGATTGTGGTTTGAGTCCCAGCCCCAATAGCTTGAAAAACACTCCAGGTACATGTGTATGCATGTCCAAAATCCCAAGAGGATGAAGACATGGAGGAGGAGAAGGGATTTCAATGTGACCATGTCCCATTGTGGGGATGTTTTCTCTGTCTCTCTGTCTCTCTGGTGAGCCTGTGTCTCTTGGCAATTAAAAATATATATATATTTTTAATCAAATACACAATTATTTGTTACAGTTATTCTAAAATAGTATTATTTTAATTTTCTTTAGGCACAAGCAGCATCTCAAGAAAACTTAGAGCAATTAAGAGAGAATAATTATGCTTCTGTAAAAAGTCAGATGGAAATCAGAATTAAAGATCTAGAATCTGAACTCTTCAAAATGAGAGCTACTCAAGAAGATTCTAATAAAGCAGAATTGGAAAAATATAAGCAACTCTATCTAGAAGAATCACAAGTTAGAAAATCATTATTAGATAAACTAAACAAGTAAGTAAAAAAATATATAAGAATTGTGGAAAATAAATAAAGCTCATTAATTTGCCTGTAAAGCTTAACTTTTAGTAAGATAGGTTCATGAGATTAGTAGGAAGTAAAAGCTAACTAGACAATATAATTTTGGAAAATGATGTTAGCAAATGAACTTATTGGTCCAGGAAAGTTTATGTCTCTGTGCATTTTTTTTTGTTTGTTTTATATGGATTTCTTTTTTTTCTCACTTAATATTCTAATATAGCAAACCTGATCTATTAGTCTTTGGGCTAAGTGTTGTTGGTTTTTTGTTTTTGTTTTTGTTTTTGTTTTGAGAGGTTTTTGCTATAGGGTGCATGCGCTTACCAGAAAGACAGAGAGAGACAGAGACAGAAAGTGAGAAATCACCCCCCAGGGGGATGGCCACGCCACAATCCCTTCTCCTCCATTCTCCTCTTGGAATCTTGAACACGCACAAACATGTGCCCGGTGTGAGTTTAAGCCACCAGGTCCAGGATTCAAGCCATGGTCAACTACATGGGAGTCCAGCAACATAGCCATTATGTTAACTGCTGGTCCCTCAGCTAAGTATTTTTGAAGCTTTATAATTTAGACAATGATATTGAAATTTCTTGTCAGCATTACTCTAACCAGAAATACTTATTTTTTAGATGGTTCCAACTCAAACCCGAAAGATTTAGTGTTACGTATTTCTCTCACAGCCTAGCACTTCATAAATTAACTTTCATTGATTGTAACCTTAGATATTATCAGTAGAGGGCACTAGACACAAACTATTCTTTATAGTTTTTCCAGTTATGTAAAGCCATAGTTTTGAAGTAGGGAGAGAGGATGAAGGGAAGTATAATTTACAAAGTGGTTAAAAAAATGCATTGTCTGGACCAGCAGTTGGCATAATGGCTATGTCACTGGACTCCTATGTAGTTGACCGCAGTTCGAGTCCCGGACCCAGTGGCTTAAACTCACTCCAGGTGTGTGTGTTTGTGTGTGCATGCCCAAGATCCCAAAAAGAGAATGGAGGAGGAGAAATTGCAGTGTGGCCATCCCCCCTGGGGGTTGATTTCTCGCTTTCTGTTTCTTTGTCTCTTTTTGTCTTTCTGGCGAGCTGCCCTATAGCAAAACCTCTCCAAAAAAAAAAAAAATGCATTGTCAGTTTGAGATAATGTTTGGAAGGCAGAAAGGGCGGGCTCTGACCTCGAATACCTTGGTACTATCATGAGCTTATTGCCTTTGGGGCCACATTAGTTCATTTTGATCACCAACTCCGCTCTCTTTCTCCCCTGGGAAGTGTTGCTTTGAATTATTCTTCAGTGTCTAATGTTTAATATCTCTCAGGTAATGTGTGAAACAGACAAAGGTAGTGAAAACAAATGCTTAAAAGATATCTTAGAAGAATTTAATTTTTTTTTTAATCTTTCAACTGGGTTACTAAATTATAAGGGTTTTCAGGGGTTTTTTAGCTTTAGTTTTTTAAATTGTATACATTTAGGAATACAACATGTTTTGATATACATAGTAAAGTAGTTATTGTAGTCAAGCAGACTATCCTATCCATCATCTTGCATAGTTACCTTTAAACACAAATATTTCTTTTTTAAAAACATTTTGGAGAGAGATTTTTGCTATAGGGCATGTGTGCTCACTGGAGACACAGAGAGAGAAATTGAGAAACCACTTCCCAGGGGGGATTGGCCACGTTGTAATCCCTTCTCCTTCCTTCTCCTTTCTGGATCTTGGGCATGCACACATGTGCTCAGCATGAGTTTCAAGTTGCCGGGTTTGAGACTTGAACTGCAGTTGACTGAATTGCAGTGGGAATCTAGCACCTTAACTACTATGCCACTTGCTTATCCAAAACACAAATATTTCTTTGTTGTCGTTGTTTTTTCAAGAATTATTTTATTTAACTTTGTTTACTTATATTAATTTGACCAGAGAGTAAGAACAAGGGAAAGTGAGAAAGCAAGCCGTCAGGTCTGGGATTTGCATTATGGGTGGCCATGTGGGAGTCTAGCACCCTTAACCACCACACCACCTGGGGATTCCAACATAAATATCTCTTAATGGTGTCCTCAGGAATCCTCTACGTGGAGCCTTCCAAGAGGCAGCAGATGTTAAGCCATGTATCATCAATAATCATTCCTCTCCCTTCCCTACTTTATTTGAATTACTTTTTAGGAATCTCTACAAACACTGGTACTTGTTCAGAACAATTTTAAACCTATGCTTATATACAGGGAATACGTTCTGACACATTTTCAGTGTTACAGCATGAAAAATTCCATTTATTATTGTGTTTTTAAAAAATACAGTTCGTTTAGGAATCTTTTAGGGAGAAACTAAGCATCTGTCTTTTGCATCCTTCACAGGACTAATGAGAAGTTAGCAGAGGTCAGTGCCAAACTTCTTGTGGAAAAACACCAGAGTAGATCTTTACTGAACAATCTTGCTACAAGATCAGTTCTAGAGTCACCTTATGTTGGAAATTTTAATAATAGTTTAGTGAACAGTGGAAATCTTATTCCAAGAGAAACTTCAGTGATTCCTACCTCAATCTCACAGCCTTCGAATAACAGCATAGAGAACTACTTAACCAAGGTTAGTTATATGAGTATTATCCTTTTCCTTTGAATTTAAAGTTACTGATATAATTTTTGTTTTTAATTTGATAAAATAATTTAACTAATTTATACATGTTAAGTAAAAATCATAATTATCTATGTTAATACAGAAAGGAAACAGAAATTTTACAAATTTTAAAGTCCCTGGAGCTCTCATTTTGAAGCAATACCCATTCATTATCTTTATTCAATATATGTAAATAAACTTTTAAATTTCTTTATTTATATTAGATTTTAGGATTGAATATTATTGCCTAGTAACTGAAGATTTGCTTTGAGATGCTTTAGCTGTCTGTTAATTGCTTTTAGTGTGGCTGTGGTCCATAGCACTTTAGAGTCTTCCTACACCATCCCAGGTTTATCATCTTTCTTCAAACATTTAACCACAGATGCAGGTTTATTATTTAAAGGCATTCAAGATAAATGCTTTCTATTGTATTAATTAAAGAAACTTGTAGCACTAAAAATAGATTAATTTCTATTTTAAGTTTAAATTATATTTTTCTTACACAAATACTCCCTTAATTGCTACTTTACTTTTTTTGTAGAACATGTCTATCGCTGGACAGCTGGATGTAGTTTTTAAATAGTTAAATCAAGCAAAAATTTTTCCCCAAGTTTATCCCATGAATGAGAGAGAGAGACGGAGATACAGTACCCCCAGCAGGGTCTTTTTTTTTTTTTTTTTTTTTTAAGAATTATTTTACTTAACTTTATTTATCCATTTCTTTCTTCCCTTTTTGGGGGGAGGAGAGGATTTTGTTACAGGGCATGTGTGCTCACCAGAAAGACAGAGACAGAGAGATGGAAAGTGAGAAATCACCCCACCCCCCCAGCAGGGGGATGGCCATGCCGCAATCCCTTTTCCTCCATTCTCATCTTGGGATCTTGGGCACGCACACACACGCACCCGGCATGAGTTTAAGCCACTGGGTCTGGGACTCAAACTGCAGTCAACTACATGGGAGTCCAGCAACATATCCATTATGCCAACTGCTGGCCCCATATTTATTTCAATTTGACCAGAGAAGGACAGAGCAAACGAGAGAAAGAAGGCAAACCTCCAGGTCCGGGCTGAAATGCTATCGATCATGTGGGAGTACAGTGCCCTTAACCACCACACCACCTACTACCCTCATGCCATCAGGATCTTGACGCCACAGTCCACCTCCAGCTTCAGCCAGCCCAGATCACAGGCACACCCAGGCCCAATGTACCAGGGAGGTCTCTGGATGTGAACTGGCCACCTTCCCATGTGGGTTTGCCCTCCAGTGTTGGATTTCACTGCTGTGCCACCATCTGTCCCAAAATATTTGGATTTTTAAAATGAAGTTCACTTATGTATATCTTGCTATTATTTATTAACGATCAAGATAGTACTCATATTTACAGTCTCTAAGTAGCATCTACCATCAAACAAAATCAGTTATAGTAGTCCCCTCGTGGGGGGGGGGGGATATGTTCTGAGACCTCCAGTGGATGCTTGAAACTGCAGGTAGTACTGCATCAAAGCCAAATAGCTTAAGAGAAAAAGTTAAATGACTGTTTTAGTATATAAATTACAAGATTCTAGCTAGCTGAGAGCGAAAGAGAGAGGGAGGGAGGGAGGGAGGGAGGGGAGGACATGAGAAATCTTCCTCGAGGGGAGATGGCCACACAGCAATCCCTTCTCCATTCTTCTTTCAGGATTTTGGTCACACACATGCGCCTGGTGTGATTCTCAAGTCACCAGGTCCAGGATTTGAGCCACAGTTGGCCATGTCGGAGTCCAGTGCCTTCACTGTCACACTACCTGCTGACCTTGCTGCTTGATATTTTTCATTATTTTGTTAGCTTCATTTGTTTTGTTTTGTTTTTTGTTTTTCATATAGTTTGAAATTTTCCCATTCATTTAATTAGATAACTATAATTACTCAGATGTTTCCAGAAAATGGTCCTAATTTCTGAAAAGAAATAAAAGTTACAGGTAAACATATATTGTTTTTCTTGTTTTTAATTCTAGAAAGTCATTAATCAAAGAAACTGAGTTTGAAAACTGGCTCTAACCTATACTTATTCTCTTTTCTTTAAAATTTTTTACTTTTTTTTTATTAGCAAATTTTCTGATATCTTTGTGTTCATATGAATAAAGAAATGTTTAGTCGTAATACACATACCACAATACTTTTGCCAATAGAATTTTTGCATGATATTATGATATTATAAGTTTACTTATTAAAGATTCTGTGCTGGGGCCAGCAGGTAGTATAGTGGTTAAGGCATCAAACTCTCACATGGCCAACCACAGTTCAAATTTCAGACCTGGTAGCTTGAAACTCACACTGGGTACATGTGCATGTGTGCCCAAAAATCCCTAGAGGAGAATGGAGGAGAAGGGGTTACAGCATGGCCATCCCCCCAGCAGGTGATTTCTTCCTTTCTCTTCATCTCTGCCCACTGAGCACACAAGCCCTATAGGAAAAATCTCCTCCGGGGGGCGGGGGGGGGGAGATTCTGTGCTAACTATACTATGGAACATACTTTAAATTCTTGATTTTCTAAATGTGGAGAATGATGGACCAGTGGGTGGCATAATGGCTATGTCACTGGATTCCCACTAGTCAACAGCGGTTTGAGTCCCAGACCCCAGGGGCTTAAAACTCATGCTGGGTGTGTGTACATACATGCCCAAGATCCCAAGAGGAGAATGGAGAAGAAGGGATTGTGGCATTGCCATCCCCCCCAGGGGGTGATTTCTTACTTTCTGTCTCTCTCTGTCTCTCTGGCAAGTTCATATGCCCTATACAAAAATCTCTTAAAAAAAAAAATAGAGAATGGAAGATTTATTTTAAGGAAAAATCCACTAAAGTAAAAACCTGATTAAACTTTAATAGAGGGCAAAGTTTTGCTGAGAATGACCAAGTAATGTATCCAATGTAAAATGACTTGAATTGTTTACTCTTTGTACTAATAAGATAAAGTGTCACCCCTTTGAAATGACGTATTTTCAATAGACCAATATTAATTGTACTTGAATCAGATTAATCCACACAACAATATACATATATATTTTCTGTTATATGAACTTAAAATAAGTAGGAATTTTATTTGTGATTTTTTTTAATGTAAGCAACCCTCCAGTTATATCTAGTCTCAAAGCATTATTTAAAGGCCACATTTTGTGAATATGCCATTCTTATGATAATGTCTCTTGTTTAAAGATTATAACTAATATTTGACTTATTTCAGATGCAGCAAGAGTTAGAAAGAAGTATAACTAGAGAACTAAGAGAAGGTATGTTGCCAAAATTTATGAATTAGAGTAATTAATTGAAATCTGAAATAAACTACAGGTAGCAATTGCATTTCTTTCCATTGACTGGGTAATAAATAATACATTAGATATTTTTTTCTTATATACACCTAATGAAAGAGATGAGAACATAAACATTCACACTGAAGAATGTACTTAGTCCTATTCATCATGCACCATAACTTTAAAAGTCTTGAAAAATCTGTATATCTTTTTCTTCTGACTATATACTTTCTTCACTTTTGCCATCCCTGTGGAACAGTTTCTTCCACACTGAAACTATTCTCAGAAAATAAAGGCATCTCCGAATTCCTCAGGCTTTGTAGTAATGATAAAAGCCAGAACATCCAAACTCATCTAGTCCTACTTCCTGAAGCAATTACAGTTCCTATGGCTTTCCTTTGACAGGTGACATCTGAACTTTCTGGTCATTTACTTAGTCATTGGTTTACCTTTTGCTGTCAGGAGAAGATCCAAATTCTTTTTTTTTTTTAATCCAAATTCTTTAGCATGGTGTAAAATCATCCAGATCAGTTTGGTCCTGTACTAGTTATTCAGCCTTGTCTCTTATCACTTACCTTTCTGTGCCCCTTTCCTCTAGCATCTAGCCAAAGTAGACTACTTAAAATTTCACAAGTGTTCTTCCTCACTCTTCTAGTTCTTCGGATTTGCTTCTTCCCTCTGTCTGGCATACTTTTTTCTTGTCCTTTAGCTGTTAACTTACATAGCATCTCCATCAAAAAGCCTGCAATATTGACACAACATTGGGATAGATGTCCCTTCTGTGTGTCCCCATAATGCCGTTTTTACCCGTCATAGTATCTGACCTTATATGAAAATTGCCTGTTTTTTTTTCAGGTACTAGTATATGATTGAAAGGTTACTATATCATCATCATCTTGTAATTCTAGTCTTTGTCATAGTACTTTAGTGCTTGAGAAAATGAGAAAAACAGAAGCCCCAATACTTAAACACACTGATAATTAATTCTGCATGCAACTCCATGAAAATTATTTGTAATGCAAGTTGAGCAGTCCTGATCTGAAAACCTGAATCCGAAATGCTTCACATTTGGAAACTTTTTGAGTACCAATATGATGCCAGGAATGGAAAATTCCACACCTGATCACATATGACAGGTTGCAATCAAAACTCTGTAATACAAAAATACCATGAAATCAAAAATATCAGGTTATGTGTATAAAGTATACATGAACTATAAATGAATTTTGTGTTTAGACATGGGTCCCATCCCCAAGATATCTTATTACGTACATACAAGTATTCCAAAATTCTTAAAAAAAAAAAAAAAAGGAAATCTGAAATACTTCAGGTCCCAAGCATTTTGGGTAAGGGACACCCAGCCTTACTGCCCTTGCACATAGGTATTTTTTATTATTATTCATAGTGATACATTCCCAACATTTTTTTATTACTAATACTTAGTTAACTCTGAAGTCTTTTAGATAAAGGATGTAATTATTTCTTTTTCTTTCTAGCTGCTGCAGAATTTTCGTCTGTATCCTGTAGAGCTTCTCCTCTAGGACCTACTGATGAGTCAAACCACACTCAAGATCTACTGTTAAGAGCATCACAAGAATATGTGCAAATCTTGAAGAAAAATTATATGATCTGAGAAATAAAATTTTATTGACTGGACTGCTTACCTAACTTTTTAGTTGTTTTTTCACTAAATACATGACATGCAGAAATCTGTATTAAAGACTTTCAATTATATGTGTGCAATGAACATTAATATAAAATTTTAAACTATTTCTCAGCATCTATGACTATTAAGTGGATTTTGCAAATGAAAACTAGTATTATTGGGAACCAGCAGTTGGCATAATGGCTATGTCGCTGGACTCCCATGTAGTCAACCGCAGTTCACGTCC